GTGCCCAAAAGCGATGTACAGCTTCTCAAATGTGATAATTTGCTGCTTTTCCCTGTTTCATATTATTGTAAATTAAACATCTTTTGGTTTTGGTATTTTGGACTCAAACACTGACAATTACATACACAAAATAGCTTTCCTTAAGGTTCCTGGCTGCATCTGTCTCTCCATTTTTTACCAGATATTTAATGCTAAAATTAATCAGTTAAGGCCCTTTCAGACACAACGAGATAATGGCACCACTGCGATCTGCCATAACAGCATTTCACTGTGTTGAGCAAAGCGCATACGCAGTGTACCACTCGAGACTGACGCCATGTCCCATTTAAAGCCTACAAAACACAGCCCTACAAACCAACAGATGTATGAGACAAATTCACCAACACAATGGTTATTGAAACCTGCTACAACGCAACATTGTTGTGAATAAATATGAAGCCAAAAGTAGCAACAATCCACTTAATTCATTTAGTTTATACAGTGTACATGAAGACACAGTTCACCCTACAAGTAACAGGTTGTAACCCTAATCTTAACCTTAACCGCCTCTCATTTAGCCTAACATTTCATAGATAGCTAAACGCTAACTTAGCATTTTCTGTGGGGCAAGCAGCTAAGGGTTCCGATCATGTAGGTGTGGTGAGCGAGTTATGTAGCTGTAGCTGCTCCAGCTGCAGCTATACCTACTACATATACCTGCTGTGTGTTGTGACAAATATGCCAATAGAAATGAGGCAGCCAGCTTGGCATGGGAGACAAAATGGAGGAAAAACTAATATTGTGTGTGTCTGAGTTCTCTGAACTGTAAAACACACATTTGTGCTTGTATCCAGAACTCAAGAGAAAAGCCCTGTCATGAAAACATGTTTTCAGTCAAGTAGACATATAAGGTGTGTTTTAGCCAGTAGCTTGTAGTTACTAAACCTAGTAAACCTAGCTTAGGTTTGTTATATCAAATTTAAAGTGTTCCCCCTCAGTAGCTCTACAGACCTATTAAAGTTTCTTCTCTGAGGTAAAGAGGTTTCTTATTTTGTTTTTAGGATTTTCTTTACTGGCAGCAACAAAATGATGAAGTCCCACTACAAGTTTTAAAAAAATTCTCCCTATGTGGCTCTGTCCTGACTTTGAGTTTTGGACTGTTGTTCAGACAAAATAGGACATTATATAGATTAACTGATTAATTTAAGAATAGTAAACACCCTAGGACAGGACATCTCTGAAACGTAATACGCTTTTGACTTTTTGACGTTTTAAACTGATTATTTAAGTACTACAACTCTGGCCAAGATGCCCCTTAAATGTAACCAATAAAATCAGTAATCTTAAAACAAACAGGAAACTTGTTTAGTTTGTTTAAGTTGTTTAGGAGTCATGGGATTTGTTTTCGTGGTTTTAGTCAAAAGTCAAGCAACAAATACCTCACAAGGCATTAAAGCATGCCAAGTGAGGACATGTATTGACCCAAGTGTGGTCATGTCCAACCACTGATGGACTGAGTGGAGTCCACATCTGATTGAGTCTGACCTTCACTGAGAGGGTTAATACACACTGATACAAACCCTCCTGCTGCAGCAAACTGGTAAAGCCATGCACCAGACACGTGTTTGATGGCAGTTGTGCATATGTCGCAGGATTTAGGTGCTGCTCTACTTTAAACTGCGTTGATACTTGGTGTGTGTGTGAGAGAGAAGGAGACAGTTTGTTTCTGTGCCACTATTGATGTTTATACAGAACAAGTGTGTCTGCAAGGAAAGATTATTCAGTGATGAGAAGGATCGGATTACATCCAATTCAGATAGTATCAATATAACTTTCAGCATGTTGCTATATACTGTGTACACTAGCCTACCACAACCCACACAAGCAAAACCTTCCTAAAACACAAGGTTTGGGGATTTGGCAGATTTTTTTTTTGAATCTGAAATCAATATTGAATCCAGTTATAAAATCAGAGTCATTTAAAATCTTTGTAAAGATATAATGGCGTCCTGAGCAGATAATACAGTCACATTACTTCTGTGTGTACTGTGATCCCAGGGATGTATAAAGAGAACTGGATATGGCGTTGGAGGCGGGGCCCCATTCAGTCCTATAAAAGTTACTGAGTGGCACATGAAGCCAAAAAGCTCAATTTCCATGGCATGAATTACTCAGATCTTACACATCGTGGGGGCCATAGAGCAAACTCACCAGAGATTTCCGGCAGCCAAGCGGCTAACTTTCGGTTTAGCGCTCCGTTAACTTGAATGGGGAAAAAATGATTTAAATCGAAATGTTATCAGACTGAATGGATCAAATCCTGATAGTGAAATTAGTCATTTCGCAGGGGTTGTGATGCTAAAAAAAAGGAATCCCCTGATTTACAGATGTTTCTTTCACAATGTAAATCTAGGAGGGAAAAGTGTATTTTGGTTACTTGGCATCACGTGATGGACCCAGAAGTTGTAATTCAACGGTTTGGCCACTACTGTTCCTTGGGACTTGTGTAATCAACACATTCCCACTCTGACCACCTCTTGGACTTTCCACTTCCACATACGATGTGCAAAGTACCCTGGGTGGATTGGTTGTTGACGTGCTGGGACACCGTGTCAAGTTCTGCCTGTTAAATGCATTGTCTTCTTTCAAAATACACTTCCATTGCCACAGGGAAGTTAACATTTACATAAAGTCTCTTTCAAAATAAATGTGCTGGTACAACACCGCGAATTGACTTTTTTTTTCCAACAACAAACACATGTTGTTGGGTGTAGGCAACAAAAGCAGAAGGTTAGGTTTGGGAAAAAAGAACAGAGTTTAGCTTTAGAATCTTGCGGGATGCGAACACCGCTTTCTCAGGTGAAAGTCGGTGTTAGTTGCCGTTAAACTATAATGGCAACTGGCTGCAAATCATGCTGATGTTAAAGGATTCCTTTTTCGTTGGTTTCTGAGACCGCAAGTCACCACCCAAGCACTGGATTTTGATGACTTCGGAGTGAGACCGGGCTCATGTAATTTGAGTGTCTCTGTTTATTGATGTTGTAGAGGGTCTGGCCACACTTGCATGTTAGTCCCTGTGTGTGTATCTCACTGGCTAGCTAATTGCCACTGCTTAGCACTGTGCTTACATGTCGGTAACCACTGATAACGTTACAGAAGCATTACTTGTTAACACCATTAGCACTGCCAGCACTGTTTGTGCTGTTTGTGCTGTTAGCACTGTTAGCGGCTAGATGCTTGCTCGGCCACTTCCATGTGGAGAGCTCTGTGCAGACAATCCAGGCTGAGTGTCACAATCAGCTCCTTTAGGAACAAAAACTGAAACATTCAAAAAGCCAAACCTCAGCTTTGGCCATAGATTACATATTTGCTATTGAACTAAATGATTTTCTAAATGTTAATTGCAAGAGAGCAGATTTGCTAAGAGATTTTTAGACTCAAGAAGATTTTACCAACATGGAACCTGATCTGTAAGGGACCTGCTAGAGGAACCCTACCCTACACACAGCACACGGTGAACTGGAGATGCTAAATATACAGTAACCATGCCAAAAGGTGAAGGAAGAAGTTGATGCTGCAATTGCATGATATCCTAATTGTTTTGGTCCTGGACAAACTAGAAAAATAACACAATTAAGTGTACTTGTAAATGCCAGGATGCATGATATATTTTTACTCCATGATCCAAAGTGTAATAAGAACCACTTCCAGCAGGGAAGACACAAAACATTCCGCACATGCCTCATTTGTTATCAATGCAGAATAGTAGTCCACATTAATTTAACAATATTGCAGACTAACATAGTTCTGGTCAAAAGAACCACACACCTACATTTTCATATGGATTCATGCCTATAGCTTAGTGTGTGTTTGATATGTGAGGAGTGTGTTTTAATTCAGTGTTGTAGTGCTGCAGTGACCACCGTCATCTCCTTCTGCTGAACGAGGGGAGGACGGAGGGATTATATCTCGATCCCTTTGCAAAGCTCACACCAAACAATCAACCACTGGAAATAATCCTCTGAGACACACAGACACCCGCACACAGTTACAAACAAACATGCACGTACGGACGCCTTTTAAACAATACGTTTCAGTGCACTGTGTTTATAAGATACACAAAGATTTAAAAAGAATCTACACATTTCACCTCGTCACTGAACAGTTATGTGCGGCTCTGTAAACATGATCATGTACAGCAACCTCATGGTAAAATCAATTAAGTCAGGTTTTGTTTTTTGTTTTTTTCATTTTGATATATACACTGGCAGTATGTGATGGGAGACCACTCTCTTGGTTTGTACGCCATTTAGATGTGGAAGTTCCATTAATTCATGTTCTCTTATAGTGGCTAAACTGTCTAAAATGTTTTTAAAAAATTGCATGTAAGGTGAAAAATGCCAATTATTTTTCCCAAGCGCCCAATGTGTAGCCCAGTGTCTTCAAAATATCTTGTTTTGTTAAACCAAACATCTCAAACCCAATGATACTCAGTTTATGATGATAAGACAGAGTGCGCAGCATCTCACATGAAAAGCTGGATACAGAGAATGTTCAGTATTCTTTCCTTTTTTTCGCTGGGAAAATGACTGAAACAAAACTGATCATTAAAGCAATTGCATGCCTTTGTTTAAAAGTACATTTATAATTCTGATGCATGCAATAGATAATTAAAGCTACATCTAACGTAAATGGAAACAACATCACATGTGTATGGTAATTGCTGTAGCTATATATAGACTAAATAAGCACATACAGAGTACAGACAGTCAGTCAAACCACGTTCATGTTCTTATGTCGATTTCCAGCACAGCTATTGAGACTTGCGGCAATGTCTTAGTTGAGATAAGAGGCAGGCAGACAGATTGAGAGGGAGGGGGGAGGTTTAGCTGTATGTACAGCCGACGTGCATCTGTTTGATCTCTTGAACCAACATCAGCGATTGGCTGGTGACCTGGGTAGATCATTAATGTGGATATAAGTACGGAGGGTTAACACTGACAAGCCTGTAACAGCCGGACTGAAGAGAGTACTGAGGTGGTTTGGCGTGTGCTGCTCCGATGGTATGTGCACCTTCATCTTCAGCAGCCTGTGCTCATTTACAGTAATCAAAGCCTGCTCCTCTGGGAGATTAACTCATTCTGTCATCGGCGGCCCGTCGTCCTGGAAACCATGACGATTAAGAAGATGTGTCGTAAGTACATGACTGCATGTGGAGACTGATTGTGATGGTTATCACGCACTGCATAGGTCAGCCTTGCACATCTGATGGACTACGAGAGTATTTACATTGAAGACCCTGATATTTATCCAGTCTGCTTCACTTTAAAAGTCACTGTGGGAGACTTTCTGTCTTGTGGCTGCATCTGGTCCATGAGGGCATGTAAACAGCCATCACCACCAAACCAGCGGGAGTTGCTTCCTTGTGTCTTTGTTCTGCGCTTGACTCACTTTGAAGTCCCTTCATCTCTCATCGCCAACATGTGTTTTCAAAGCTGTTTCTTAAAGACTAGGCTTCCCTTCAAAGAGGAATGCCTCCTGGTCCGCAGCCTACCTGGCAGAGTTGTAATACCTGTGTCATGTTGCTACGAAATCCAGGATTTACTGTAAGCTGCCTGACCAAACAGACTGAACCCGCTGACTTGACTTGCTGTGTTTTATTAGGGATGCTAAGCTGTAATGTGATGTAACAGGCGTGTCTGTGGCCACTCGTTTCTCTGATACCCTGATCAGTGTCTGTTTCCTGTGTTCCTATAAACTGTACTTAGGTAGGTACTTTTCAGCCAAGACATTAGAAATTTAGGAGTCAAGTTCAACTCTACAAGGTTGTAAATAGTTTCTGTATTGCTCAGTTAAACAGAGACACCAGGACAGCCCAGTAAGCGCTGGTTCCTAGAGGCCAGCTACGTTTCGTCTCATGGCGGCTCGGACATTTCCTGGAGCAGGAAAATAATCTGTCTGTTGGGGAAGGAAGACAGATTTGCAGAGCAGCTTCAGGTCCTTGAGTATGCCCTTGCAGCTTATACTCGTCAGCGCCGCCCTCCTCTCAGGACACATGCTGTTGTTTCATTATTTCAGGGCCTCCATCTGACCTGCTCAGGGAGCGAAGGTTTAATATCTATCTTTCACTGCCAGAGAGGATGACAGTCATCCTTATTCTTACTCTCACATTCTCTTTGTAACAAAAGAAAAGCAAAAAGTTTTGTCCCAAACTAAGCGAACCAGCCATTATTCCTAGCCTGATGACCTGTTGATTTTGAATTTATCCATCAGGTTTTGGTCAGGATGTCATTTGTCCAACGAGGCTACAGAACCTTATCAACCTAAAGAGAAAGGGTCTAACCCTTAAGTGATTTGAAAAATCAGTAAACCTAGAGTTCTGATGATTAAAAAAGCTCTTCCCACCCTGGCCACAAGTCCATTGCTCAATAAAAAAAAGTTGGGAGGGTGATTTCCCCCATCTCACAAACTGAATGTGATTGACTGACGTTACCAAACAATGTCCATGCTAAGAATGACATAAGGATTGAAAAGAGGATTTGTAAAGACTACAACAGTGGAACACCCTCCCCCTCCTCTCCTGCGTACTCCGTTCACCGAGGATTATATCTTTGCAATTGAAACTTAGCAGGACATTCTCCGCCCCCAAAATACACAATTTCAGATCACGCTGGCAATCCGACTTTGTGCCTGGACTGTTGCAAGGACTAGAAAAGGGGCAGAGATATGGCCGGAGAGTGGAGGTAAAAGCGTGAGAGCAGACCAACTAGTAGGTAACATTTTTTTATGTGCTCCTTCTTGTCTACTGTATTTTAGTCTGCAACTGTATCCCTACCGCTGCAGAAAATACCATTGGCTCATCTGATGGATTATAATCATGTCTGATTGCAATTGTCTCACTGAGTCAGACTGTTTGTAAATGTGACATTCATACTTCTGACAAGGATTTGGCATGGCTGCGCTGCTCTCAAGATGTGTTTATATAGGATTAATGTTTAGAGATGGTGGCGCTGGGGTCTCCGTTGAGTAGAAATGTGTAGTGTTATTGGACAGCGGACACATTCTTACTGGTTGACTCTTTCTTTCGTGTTGAAGGTGATGACTTCGCCTCAGAGGAAAATTTGATTGCTTCATAATAATCCTGTGTTGACTCACAGGAGCTAAAATAGACTTTGACGGATAATTATTAACAGTTGTCAGGTGTTTATTGGAGAGCTGTGATGTGGCTCTAGGGTGACTGTCCAAAATGATGGATTTGGACCTCTTTAAGTACCAACCGTAGTGTTGATGTTGTATACATTTTTCTGCATTCAGCCTTATTCTTTCTGATTACTCATACTGCTGACTTGCTTTCAGACAAACTTACTTAATTTCAAAATTGCCAGGCTGCTGTGTGGCTTTGAGCATGGCAATGTAGGCTGGTCGGTCTACCACTTTGGTCAAGACTGAAACATCTTACCCACTATAGGATGGATATCTCTGACATTTTGTGCAAACATTCGTGATCCCCAGAGGATGAATCTTTACAGGTTTAGTGATCCTCTGACATTTCATTTAGAGCCAACATGAGGTTGGAAGTTTGGGGTTTTGGTGAAATTTCTCAGCAGCCATTGTATGAATTAATGTGCAATTGGGTACAGATATTAATGTTGTCCAGAGGATGAATCCTAATGATTTTAGTGATCCTTGATTGTTCAGCTAGCGCCACTAGCAGGTCAACATTTTCACATGTCATCTGAATTATCTCATCATCCACAAATTGGATTGGTAAAAAAAATGTCAGGGTTTATGGTTCCCAGATGATGAATCCCCCGACAATGTTTTTGAGTGAAATGACTTAACAGTTACTGGATGGATGGAAATTTGGCAAATGGCCGTAAAATTTGATACAAATATTTTTGTCCCCATCAGCATGAATTGTAATAACTTTGGTGCTCCCCTGACTTTTCCTCTAGTGCCACCATGAGGTCAAAATTTGAATTTGTGTCAACATTATATTACATTACATTACATTTACAACATTATGACATTTGCAAACATTGGGTTTTGTTCAAAATTCCTTGGGACCAAATGTTATTCTTTTTCATCAAAATGACGTTGACATGCAACGTTTGAGGACATTGGATTTTGGTTACTTTACACAACTTAAAACCAACAAAATTTTGTCATTCATCATCAGTATTCTACATCAAATTGACATTGGCATTTGATGCCTTTGAATTTTGGACACGCGACAGCACAACCTAAATTCAACTAAATATTGTTTTAAAATTATTTAAAATTTTAAATTATTTTTATTTTGAAATAGCAGGCTGCTGCTATGGATGCAGTCATGATCATAGATACTCAGCGGAAGCAATAAAATCATTTTTAAATGAATGAAATAATTTTTAAATCATCATTCGGTGTCAAATTATGGATTTCTTTAGTAGGTAGCTGTTTAATAAGTGAGATAATGTATAATGAGTGGGTCATTATGCAAGACCTGTCTTGCATCACACTGTCAGGGTTTATTTCACAGTAATGAACCACTTGCTGTATATTATACCTTACTTAGCATGCTAGCACGCAAAAACTTAGAAGCTGAACATGGTAGACATTATAACTGCTAAACATGAAATTAGCGTTTAGCTCAAAGCACTGCTGTTTCTATGTGCACCTTCACACAGACTCTAGCAAGGCTGTAGACTCATGTTCTTTCCCGAACTCTTCCAGTATGAATTCAACCAGTAACTTCCACTCAGACCTGTCAATCACAGATTGTCAAACAACCAGGGGCAACATCTCAAGGCTCCTAACCGACTCATTTTTTAACAGCACTCATCAATGTTATCTCTTCTTTTATCAGCAACTCCACATTGTGCAGTATTTAGATTCTGGCAGATTCCATTTAAGGGATGATGACAGATTACATCTCTTGAGTTGTTTCTTCGTGTCCTGTTTAGCCTTTGCCTGCTGTGTTTGGGTTACCTGCAGTCATACTTCATTGCTGCCCTTAGAAACCCAAACCAAATACTCAAAAGACATTCCCTGTTTTGTGTGTGAGTAGCAGGTAGCTCTGGTTGTCCCCAACCCCTCTTGAAAAACAGTGTCAGCCAGCTGGTAGGGCAACGGTGTGAATCCTCACTAGCCACGGGAGAAGAATGCTCTGTTAAAATAGTCTATAAACAATCCACGGTCTTCACATTTGATGAATAAGTTAAAGAGCAGAGGATGCATCATTAACCAACACTGAATTCTGTGCTGTCCAGCATGTGCTAAATTATGTTGAATCATGTATTTTCCCAGCAGTAAACCCATCTCTCCCACTGTCTCCACAGGCAGGATGACAAACCAGTCGACAGCAAACCAGTCCAACACAAACAAGAAGGAGAAAGACGAGAGCCAGCGAGATGACAACACAGAAGTTGCATATAAAGATGCAGGCCACTGCAGCCGCAACACCCACAACCTGCTGCTGGGACTCACTGTTATGGGTATGCATGGACTGGGAAACTGTCTGTGTATTTGTAATTATATTATTCTGTGCTGAACTGCAATGTATCTCCAGCACCTTGTGAAAGCTGGACTGCAGTTGTTTTACAATCTAATAAAACTTATGAACCATTTGAGAAAAACAAGCCCAATCTCAGCTTTTGGTCAACATTATTTAACATTCCAAATTCTATTAAATTTGTGGTCAGTTTTATTGTTCAAAAAAGCCGCAGCAAATATTAACACGCACACTAGACGTACAGACTCGTGATCATTTTCCCATGAGACAACTTTGGCTTGTTGTTGTCTTTAGTCTGCCTCTGTAAACACTTTGGTATGTTTCTACATAGTTGTGTTCTTTGTCCAAAAAAAGAAAAAAGAAAAAAAAAACCCTGCTAAGTCGTGGAGTGTGTTATTTTTGCCGGCCATTTGTCAGCCAGATTTAAAACCCAGATATAAACCCGTTTACACTACAGTAGACGGTTCTCATTAGTCAGAGGTCTCTTACATGTCAGAGTACTTTTTGGGGGGGAAGAAAAGTAGGCCAGTGAGTCCACGAAAAAACCAAGAAAGACCTTGAGGGTTTATCAGCATGTGGTTTCTGAAGGCTCATACCAGTGCACAATTTTAGATATTTCTCATATTTGGCTGATATTTTGTACCACTTTTCCAGTTAACTAAGTACACACAGTCAGGGTTATTTTAACTTTTTTTAAGTACTTAATAATTTACTTATTTTGGTTCAAATACATACGTAGATATGTCCCTACTTGGAAAAAAAGCAACTTTAGATCAACATTATTCGTTTTTTCCTCCCCTCAGGTGTTGTCATGGGAGCGGTGTTTGGGATGCTGCTGCGGTACATGAAGGTGAAGGACATGGCTGCCCTTACTATGGTTTCCTTCCCAGGAGAAATCCTCATGAGGATGCTGAAGATGCTCATCCTGCCTCTGATCATCTCCAGCCTCATCACAGGTATGCCGCTACACACACATGCAAGCACAGACACACAGGAAGTAATGTTGATTGGCGTTCTTTTAGAGCGACAATATGTCCGAAAATATTGGACATTCATGGCCCCCAGAGGATAAATCCTGATTACCTGTCATAGCACCACTAACCAGTCAGATGTTCCACATTTTTCAGCTCTTTTGGTTCATAATGAGATGACTTTACAACTAATTACTAATTAAGCTTGTACTTTAAGACTAATGTGTATATTTTGAATGTTTGTGATAAACTGAAGGATGAAGTGTTCCTTTATGTGTTGAGAATTCTCCAACTTCTTAAGAAAGATAAACTCTTTAAACTCTTTGGTGTAAGCAACAATATGAGCACAAACAATAATTGTCAACGGTCTCTTTAAGGGCTGGCTGGTCTAGATGCCCGCTCCAGTGGCAGGATGGGCAGTAGAGCCATGGTGTACTACATGTCCACCACTGTAATCGCTGCCATCCTTGGAGTCATCCTGGTATTGGGGATCCACCCCGGGAACCCCAAACTAAGGGGAGGCGCCAGCAGCTCAGCCCCGAAGAACCAGGAGGTCAGCAGTCTGGACGCCTTCCTCGACCTGCTCAGAAACCTCTTCCCTGAGAACCTGGTGCAGGCCTGCTTCCAGCAGGTAGGCTCGACATTCGAAACATGTCACTGGAACTGTTATATTACTCTGGCTCTTTATTCATGTACACGTTAGGGTTGTGTGCATTCAATGTTACAGATATGGGATAAAAGTCAGAAAGGACACATTGTGTGGCCTGTACTGGTTTTTTAGTTGTCGGTTATTGCTTTAAACTTCCAGCAATGTTGAAATTCTGGTGTGTCAGGCCATAAATGCAGTAATAAAATCTGCACCATTCAACCTCTAAGTGATGCTAACCAAACAACACTGAAAAAATAAGTATCATCCAGTAGAGCTTAAAGGTTTATTCAGCAGTTGACAAAACAGTCTCGATACAAGGTCTATTTAGTGGCTGTTTTGGAGCTTTCAATCATATCATATAATCTTTGTCAGTAGAGGAAGAATATACTTCCGAGGTCAAGAATGAACTTTGTGGCTCAATTTTTAAGCCGACAATGACAAGAAGCCCTGCTAGAAAAAATGGAAATTTGAGCATCTACAGTTCCATGACCATTGACCAAACTGTTCTGATGAAGATTGTCTGATATGATCTAAAGCACTGGCTCCAAGCAGCAGGTTTGGACCCCCACAAGGAGATGGATCTAAAGGGGTGTGAAATGAACAGTGTTGGGAGGGCTACTTTTGAAATATGGTAGGTTACAGGTGACTAGTTACCCTGTTAAAAATCTAGAAAGTAATGTAACTATTTTAACTATGTTATTAAAGTAAAATAACTTTTGATTACTTTTTGATTACTTTGTCGACAAATGTTTTAAACTGCGAAATAAAGCTGAAATGTCTGATTACGGTTACATAAACTCACCAGATGTTTCCTCAGGTGTGGCATCCAGCATTTTGACGTTGACAATATTCTCAGTGCTGGTAAACAAGCTTTACACTATACAGTAATGTGAGTGCCCGTTTCTGATTTCAGAAGGAACCCACTAGAATTTCTAGCACTAAAAGGCTGTTCTTGTCCGACAACATTGCCATTGGCCACGGGGTAGCTGGCATAATTGAGGCAGACTGAGGTTGCTTAGAGCTATCAAAAACACTGCTCAGAATTTGAGCCTGTCTGGACATAGAGACTGCTCCTTTTAAGCCATCCTGCTCTTGATGGTGTTACATTCAAATTTATCCCAACAGATTTGCTGACCTGCGTTGTTCGGAGTATGCCAAAATAATCCAATAAGAGCAACAGAATGAATGCTGTCTTCTACATACACATTTGGATCTTGTAATCACCAACATTTTGATTAGTTACTGTAATTTATTTTATTTTTGTTATATTAACAACAGATTTAATTACATTTATTTTGTAATTTAATTATGTTATACTGTTACTGTACATGTAACTCCCCAGCTCTGGAAATGAATACTGGCATAGGGAATTAAAAAAAATCGAAATACTGCTGCATAATATTTTTCAGACATTTCTCCAATCTTTGCTGTTTTCTTGTGAAATTCCGTCAAGTGTTGTATCTCTTCTGTCTTTAACAAAGTTGTCAAATGAAATAGTCTAACAAGAGAAAATGACTCTAATTCAACTGCTCACATGTTGAAGACATCCACGTTGTGATGGAAGGCTGAGAGTTGATATTCACAGATGCATATGGCTTTGCAGTGCCATGTGATCATGTTCTATTTTTATTTATTTATGTATTTTATTACATGCTTCTACATGCACTGACCTTGCATTGCCATATGCCTTGTGTGTATGTTTTCTTGAATGTTTCAGTTGCACGTTTATTGTGACTGATTAAACTGTGGTTTTATTGTTTGTACTGTTAAGCACTCTGTGTACGCGTACTATGAAGGGTGCTATATAAATAAAAGTTTACTTACTTACAATAAGGTTGGGAACCACTAAACAGCTACTTAAAGGACCTCATGTGAAATTGGTTTGTCAACATTTACTATATACCTTCTATTTTAAAGTTGCAGTAAATATTGTCCCCTCTACGTGAACCTGTAAACAACCTAAGAGTACCAGGTATTAACTGAGCAGTCTGACAGAATGACAAAACTACAGAGAGTTGTTAACGACCAGTGACTCCCTGGAGAATCTGGTTGTCCTTCGAACTCCATACGCAATGTTTTCTACATGTGTCAGTGAAAGTATGATACGACTCAAAGGTTAAGCCTGCCCTCTGGCCATGTGTAGTCCATGAAGTAAAACCTTTGAAGTGTAATTATCCACGGAAAGGTATACTGTGCAGGAGTTGACGGTTACTGTTTGTGAACTGTATCGCTAGTGAAAGTGAAAGCCCACCACAGATTGGCATTCCACCTTTTGGCATGGTGTCCATGATTTTTGTAGCTTCGTTGTGGATGTGTGCTGTGCTTGGTCTGGCACGTCCCAACCTTACCTGCTCGCTGTGTCCAGGACTGTCCCAAACACAGCAAAAATAGGAGGAAATACACCTACAAAAAGTGAGGTATTGGAAATGATCCACATGTAGATACTTTATTTTGAGTATCTAGTATCCATCTGAATAAGCAGTTAGTTACAGTAAAGGTCATTTGGTTAATGGTTAACAGGGTTTGTGATTTGTGATATTCGGCTATATAAACAAAAAAGTCTTGACTCGACGGGACTGTTTATCCAAGCTGATCATTTTTAAACGATAATCCAAGTCTCAATCATGATCATGATCCAACTTCTTCTGTCCAAATCCTGTTTTTTCCCCCTCTTCTTTCTGCTCTGCGTGTGTGTGAATGATTAGAAGTAGTCGCCTGTGTTAGACTGGGCGAGGGTCAGCCCTTCTGCTACTGCTAATCTCTTTACATCTGTAATGCTACATCCTTATTTACCACAGCAAGGCATCTGCTGGTGAGCGGGGAGCACTGCTGAGCACCAGCTTATAGACTCTTTCTTATTTTCCCTGCGGTATTCTCTGTTTTTTTTTTCTCTTTTTCTTTATTCTTCACATCTCTCTTTCTCTTTTCTGTCTTCATCTCTGTTTTACTGCTTCTTTTGTTTGTACTCATTGGGGATTCATTGGAGTCATAAAAGGCATAATTGCTTTTGCAGGAAGGAGTCGTCCTTCCCCCTTTCAATCTTCCTGTCTTTCTTTTCTTTCCCTTTGTTGTCTTTATGTGAGAATCTCTTATTCCATGTTTTGCCTTTTCTTTAAACAAAAAATCTGAGTGTGTTGTACTGCTGCTGCCAAGCTTTTGTTTGCTCACAGACTTTATGAGTTGCAAAATCAGGGGTTTTGCCTTGTGAATTGGGAAGTCGGTTCATTTACAGTCGGAACCCCTGTTCAATATCAATGTGGTTCTGTCCTCCATCCAGGTTCAGACGGTGCTGAAAAAGGTGCCGATTGTAGCAACAAACCAAACTGAGCCCGTCTTAGTCAACAGGAAGAAACTGGAGTACAAATGGGGCATGAACGTCCTCGGTGAGTCGGTGACAGAGTATTATTTTCATCCACGAGAGGTTTGAGGCTTATTGCATTTGAAAAGTTTGGTATTTTTCAGCTTGGTTATTTTCATGTTTTTGTGTCTACATGACTGATGGGAACCACATTTTTTTTAAATATGTCAAGTATTGAGTAAGAGGGCCGCAGCCAACAGCAGCAATACAGACTGCAATGTAACCACTTGGGGCTTGTTTGCACCATCAGTTTAAGTCCACTGAAAGTGCGTTTTTGCCACCGACTGACTCAGATTGTTATTTTAAGTGTCATAACATTATGGAAAGGATCCCTGCAGAGATAGGCCTTTTTGTTAAAGAATAAAATCCTTTTTGTGTAACTTGAAACAGCTCCAAAATCGCCATCGCCAAACCCACCAGACTCCATTTAAATAAACAGTAATTTTATCATCGTAAAACACTTAATCACACGCTTCAGCATGCAAAGTTGGGGTGTTACCACAGATGGCCACTCTGGAAACAAGTGTGTTTAGTGATGCTTTTAAGTGCTATCCTCTGGGATTTTTTATGACATGATACTCTTGTGAGTCACTGGGCTTTTAAAATTCCAAATAAAAATCAACTCAAATCAAAGCTGAAAGCTGGTTGAATAAATCCTTAATTCACCCAGTTAGATGTGATAATGTGCTGGCTCTATACACGCTAAAATGATGTGGTGGATCTGCCGATGATGATTTTTGGGGCTGTCACTGGTTAAACAAAAGGGATCCTGCTCTTTAACAAAAAGGTCTCTGTCAGGATCTTTTTCAAAATGTTGTCAGACACTTATAATAATATTCTGAGCCTGTCAGAGGCAAAAACAAACACTTTTAGTCGATGTAAATTGACGGTGCAAACATGTGGTTTCATTGCAGCCTGTGTTGCTGTTGCCAGTTGCAGCCCTCTCACTCAATACTTGACCAGTTTTAAAAATTGTCGCTCCCATTTGTCACTTAGACAAAAGGGTTCAAGTTGAGTTACCCTTTAATTTTTCTGATGTTGGCTGCTTTGCTCTGAGAACTACAGTACTTTCCTCCAGTTTCTGGCAACATGCTGCTTTGTGTCTTCCTCCAGGCTTGATTGGCTTCTTCATCACCTTTGGGATCTGCATGGGCAGGATGGGTGAGCGAGGGAAGATCATGTGCGACTTCTTCAACATCCTCAATGAGATTATCATGACGATGGTGTCCATGATCATGTGGTCAGTGTTGTGTTTTACCCCTTTGTGTATATGTTTGTTTGCGCCCATCTGCAAGCATGCACAACATGTGCCTCTGTTTTTGTTCATGTTTGGGCATTCTGGTAATACCACACACAGGAGTCAGTGACAGTGATGGATAAGGTGAGGACTGGACATGAGACGTATTGTGGGAACGAGCAGTAGTGTTGGACGTCGACGACTGAAGAGGAAAGAAAGGAAGAGGAAAGGGCAGAAAGGGTGTCAGTGAAGGACACAGACAGATGGAAAGAGAGAGAGAGAGAGAGGGTTTCCCTGGCACATGCTGGAGTCATGGTATGCTGGGGAGTAGCAGGAGCTGGGGCCTGGAACAATGTTGCAGGCTCCCAGGGGAGCCGGGTGGAAGATCTCCAAAATGTAATGAATCCACCGACGGCAGAGGAGCCACTTGGCAGCAGAGTAGAAAGCAGATGTGGGTGGGAGGGACAGAGGGACGTGGAAAGATGCATGTGAGAGCATGTCTTCAGAAAGCAGTGCGCGCCTTGAGGCTTCGCAGGACCCCGGCGAGTCGCACAGAGAAAGAGAGTGTAGTGGCACTCAGAGCAGGGACGGGAAGGGAAAGGAAGGGGGGAGCAGGGTAGGCGGTTGGAAGAGAAACAGCAGGATGCTTGTGTTGCAGCTCTCCTAGGCCATCTACATGTGCAGCTGGACACCAAAGGAATCGAGCCCTTGTTCGTATCACTCACACAGTATAAACAGATTACTCATGGGCCGATGGAGCTCGCCAAACACAGAGCCCAGTGTATACAAAAACATGTATCATACGAGGAACACATCCATCAAAACATATACACGGCATACTCCACCAAACAACTGTCACCGAATGCCAGGCTCGGGGGTTCAGCACGCAGCTGACCTAGGAGAGAGCAGGCCGCTGTTGTGATGAGACCTACTTTGACTTGGACCAGGATAGGCTTAATTCATAGGTCCCACAGCAGCCTGTATTCATGCAGGGCAACAACTGCACTCTAAAGCTGGAAACCAGAGATCCAAGAATGTGTCATGTCCTCTCAAAGTGAAAAGTGCTCCTTTGACAGTGAATGAAGATGAATGAGGTGATAAATGCATCCATGTGCCAGGGCATTTGCTTTCTAGGGCTTCAATTAACGATTATTTTCATCAGCAATGAATCATTTATTTTGCAGTAAGTCGTAAAATTGTTTACCGAGGGGACATCTTTAAATATCTTGACAATTTTTTGGTGTTCTTTGCTAAAACAAAAAACAAAAAAACAAAACAAAAAATAAAAATAAATACAAATATATACAAATATAAACATATATAAATTACGATGATGCTTTTTAGTATCTAAGATGATGATTTTAGAACTGAAATTCTGATTAATTTAAAATACGTTAAAGCTGCAAAAATTAGTTTATAAAATGATCAACAGAAAATGTATCCCCATCTATTTTAATAATTGGTTAATTGTTTAAATCATCTTTAAGCAAAAATAGCTTCCTAAATGTGAATATTTGCTGCTTTTTTCCCTTACATTATAATATATGGAACATCTTTGAATGTGAATATTACTTTGGGCTGTTGAGATTTGTGTGGACATTTTTCTTCATTTTCTGGGGTTTAAAAGAACAAACAAACAATTAGTGAATTGAGAAAATAAGCCACACATTAACTGATAACAGAAAAAAAGCAGAAAAATACAGATCAATTTTATAAAAAGATAAAATTAAATAAATAAAATATGTTTATATACATGTAAGTATAGACACATAAACTCATTTAGGTGTTAGCCATTTAAGGGAACAGTTCACCCCAAAATAAAATAAACACACATTTTTCCTCTTAAATGTAGTGCTATGAATTAATCTTGACTGTTGGTGTGAGTTGCTGAATTACAAGTCGTAGAGATGTCTGCCTTCTCTCCAATATAATGTAACTAGATGGCACTCAGCTTGTGGTGCTCAAGTGGCAAAAAATACATTTGAAAAACCCAACAGCAAAGTCTCTTTCCAGAAATCATGACACGGTTACTCAAGATAATCCACAGATCTTGTTGTGAGCAGTTTCATGTGGGGACTATTTTCTTTCTACCAAACTACATCCTCCAACTGTATCACTACTCGGAAGGAAGTGTGCCATTTAGTTTCATTATATTCAAAAGAAGGCAGACATTTCTACAGCCGATATCTCCAACACTCTGCAACTCACATCAAAAAAATCTAGCGTGAAAAATAGCTCTAAGAGGAAAATATGTATTTTTGATTTTGGGGTGAAGTGTTCCCTTAAAGAATAAAATCACATGGTACTAAATGTAAAAAAGAATAATAGAAATTTGTCATAAGTAATATTTGAGCTCTGATGTGTCCTCCTGTCTCTGTGCTTAGGTACTCTCCTGTCGGTATCGCTTCCCTGATTGCGGGAAAGATCGCAGCTATCGGGGACCTGGAGGTGGTGGCCAGGCAGCTGGGCATGTACATGGTGACCGTCATGGTGGGCCTGGTGATCCATGGTGGCTTGATCCTACCTGCTATATTCTTCGCCATCACCAGAAAAAGCCCCTTTACGTTCTACTCTGGAATCTTCCAGGCTTGGATCACAGCTTTGGGCACTGCTAGCAGGTAGGACAGCCTGCAGGAAGTGTGTATATGTGTATGTGTGCGTATCTGTGTCTGTGGAAGCTCTCCGTTTGGGCATGTGTTAACACATGTGGGTCACATGTTTCTTTTTACAACATCTATTCCTCGAGCAGCTGCTGTAGTTACTATGATTGATCGGCGTAGCTTGCTGCTCGCTTTCAGCTATTTGGGTTAAATCTGAAGTGGCTAAAGGCAAAATTTTGTGTTTACGCGGACAAATCAGGACAGCAGAGCCAAATGTGTGTAAGTGCAGGCTATCATAGATGAGTCCATGTCAGACAGATCCTGTGTTGTAAATGTCTAAGCCTTTGGATTAGTCATCACCAGCCAAACTGGCCCCGCTGTATCCTGCCCGGCTCGGCTTGGGTCGGCCTGCCTGGGAGTCTGCACGGGCGCTGAAACCAACTGTCATTTTGGCACATTACTGAGGCTTTAGTGAATATGGGTAATCCTATCAACGTTTTCTCTAATTATATTATGACCCGAGCTTAGCAGGGCCAGGAATCAAATTCCTTTAATTCACATGTTGGAGGATTGCAACAGTGGCCTCTGCCAGCTGTTAGGACAAGGCTGTCAGCCGACTCAAATTTCCACTTTTTTTTTTTTTTTGTTCTGTTTCTACCCCGACTTCACCCCCTCATCTCCCTCCTCACCTCTTCACTTCTGTCTTTCACCACCTGTCTACCTATTTTATGTCCTTCAACAGACACTTTGCTCCTGCTCTTTGTACGTTTGCACCTTTTTTTCTCTAACTCTACATCTTGTGGGGCCTCCTTGTCTCAGTGCAGGGACGTTACCTGTCACCTTCCGCTGCCTGGAGGAAAATCTGAAGATTGATAAGCGTGTGACTCGCTTCGTGCTGCCCATAGGTGCCACCATTAACATGGACGGCACCGCGCTGTATGAGGCCGTGGCAGCCATTTTTATTGCCCAGATGAATGACATCACCCTGGACAGCGGACAGATCGTCACTGTCAGGTAAGGCACGTTGTACTACACAGTTTCATAAAAATCAGTGGTTCCAACCCCCCTGGGCTCCAGATCAGGAGACAGTTTCTACAGAGGAAGTAAGAGATAAAAAGCCTAACGTGTGTCATTATATCCAAAGATTTCACCTTTATTTGGGACGTAAAAGGCACCACAGACCCTCCCTTTTGATTGCCGGTTCACAACAACACTGTTGACATATAAGCCTCTGCCCCACATTACTTAAAGCTATTTCTCAGACATGCTGTAATTAAATTGCAAGATTTGTGTCTGATATGGCGTCTCAACAAAAAGTTTTTGGGATGGAGGAGAACTTGAAAGTCACAGTGAAATGGCGGTTTGAGTGTCTTTAGCTTCTGTGTGACTTATTTCTCAGTGAGATTAATATTTGAGCGGTATACAGATACAAGAGGGATTTAAATCAAATTGTGCACATTTGATTGGGCTGCTAAAAAGCGGGCGGGCTTAGAGTTTAGCACATACACGAGCTACAGTGGACTGTGGCTCCACACACACCTCCCTCCCTGTTAGATCAGGGGGAGATTGAGGAAGAGATGAATACATTTGACCCCCATCACATAGTTTTGGGAATGAATGAAAGGTTTTGCCCACTAATATCTGAACACATCTCTTCCTACTCTGTCTAAATTGCTCTGTTTGCTGCTATAACCCACAAACAGTGAATGTGGTTTTATATAACCAGTTTATCTAACTAGTCAACCAAAGTCTCATTTGATTGGATGATCTTTTGTAAATGCCCCTGAGTGCAGGATGAGTCATCAAACATTTAACAATTGTTTTACCATGTTTTACAGAAAGAGAAGATTTGATGTAAAAACACACTGATTTTTGCACATATTTGGCATGTAACAAGAGATAAATGATAAATTCAGATATAAACTTGGGGGAAAAAATTATTTCACTGTGTCTTTAAGTTTTAATTTTGTATTATTATAAGTGATTTCAGCACACAGAAATGAAATTTACTTCCAACTGTGTCAGTCCACTGCTCGATTAAATTTGCTCTGCAGGATTCTTTTTTTCTTCCTTTTGTTTTAGTTTCCCACATGAGATACAACAACATGTACACATACTTTTAAACATATGTGTATAAAATTACGTGTGAATGCGAGCAAAGCCTCACAATACTTGATCACGCAGGTCTCTTTCCTTAGGTCTATGTCACGACACAAGCTGTTTGTTGTCCATCAGCTGATTACAGTGGGTAACAGGAGCTCCTAGTAGTACTCAACTGAAAGCCACATGACATTTTCTCAGGCTGTTTCATCAGTCTAGCTGCAAATATTATCTATTTAAATTGTTTTAACATAGAGGAATACTTCACCCTCAATATGACTATTTCTATATCAGTTAGTGATGCCATGTTACCTTGAATTCATGAAGAAAACTTCGTTCTTCTTGCATGCCTTGATCGAAAATATCGGATATATTGATTTATTAATTGATTGGAGACCACTCATAACAACAACAGAACTATATGAAAACATCCGTTTACATACTCACACAACAGTATAATCCAAGTCCCGTTTCTCCAGTCGTATGCTCATTACTTCCTCAAACACATGCATTTTCGCTGAAAACACTTTTGCTCTGAAGTCTGGCTTTGAGGAGAGCATAGATAAGTTTCAAATGTTGGCTTTCAGGGAAAATGCATGTGTTTGGGAAGCACTAAGAATACAACTGGATAAATGAGATTTGGATTATACTGCACAAGTTGTATGACAGTTTGTAAATGGATGTTTTGATACAGTTTTGCTGTTGTTAAATGTGCTTCCCAATCAATCAGCAAGTCAAGATGTTAGGCATATGAAAAAAACAACATTTTCTTCCCCAAATTCAAAGTACTACAGCACGACTAATGGATTAATAAACAGTCATTTTGTGTATGAAGTATTCCCTTAATGCATCTAAGAAGTATAAATTCTAAATTCTGTTGATTTTTCAGGACCACACACCGTGTAAGTCCGAGCTGCATTAAAAAATTCCTATGTACCAATGTAAATAAAACTCCAAAGACTTTTAACAATATGCAGAGATGAACGACAGCTTTAAACTCAGCATGCATACAGTGAGGAAGTAAAATTTGCCATTTCTGAGGTTTAAGCAAAACATCCATGTCTGATTGGAACCAGTCTACTTGGATCGGACTCAGCTTGTTGCGGCCGCGGGTTACAAATGATGCTCTGCACTTTGAAGTTGTTTATTGTATGTCTTTGATCAATGGCCTCGTTTACCACCAGATTCCAAAACCTTATTTTCAGAAAGCTCTGTACGACTATTGCATCATCCGTGGTGGAGTTGTTTGAGAATACGATCCATATGTGGTGTGTAAATCTTTTGATTGTCTCATTTAATGTCGCAGTCACAGTGGGGTAATAATTAGCACTGCAGTTTGTCAGAAAGGATTGAGATGTAACACAGATCTCTGAGATCAGATGATCAGAATCTTGTAGTAAACATCACGGATTTAGTGTCCAAACTGGCCTGCAGTCACATCTGGGACCAACATGAACTGATAATCCCTCTAATTGCAAACATGTCATGACGAGCAGCATTCTTTGAGCATTAAAGATTTTAGTCTTGAAACAAAAGAAGTCAGGAAACATTAAAATATTTTGTTTTCTTTCTCAGACAGCAATATTAATGCAAACATCGCTTGTGCAATATGGTGAAATTACCAACAGGTTGTTGCTGTATGACCAGGTTCTGCAACTGTAAATCACCAGATTATACCACACCTTAAACAAATCTGTGTGCTGAACAGGGTTGTCAACTTTAAAAAATGCGTTGGACATTAAAGGCAAAGTCCTGTTTTATTTTTTTATTTGGTCAGATAATGAAAATATAATACCTTAAATCACATTCTGCAATTATCTGCATGTATCTTTGTAATTGAGGAAGTTGGAAAATCTATTATAATGTTAAAGTAAGCCTGTACTAATCTATGTTAACCCTCTGGTAATCCTATAGACAAGCCTGTGTTTAGATTTAACCTGGTTAAACCTGTTCAATAACACTGCAGTATATCAAAGGATTATACTTTGCAACCGCTTTTTCCAAGAAATATGAGCGGGAGGTCCTGTTCAACCTGTTACATGTTGAATATATGGCTGTGGAAATGCCATTCAAAGTAGAGGTTATGATCTAAACATTTTGTTTTCATTTAGTCCAGTTAAGTCATCTTTTCATCCACAAATCATCAAAACCACATTTACTGTGCTGTACTGTCATCAGCCAGAGCATATTCCACAAAACTATGAAACATGAAATTAATTTTGCTTCATCTCATTCATCCTCTAAATCCTCATGTTTGCATTCAGAGCACATGTCAACAACAGACTGTCCAGGGACTAAAAACTGGTGTCTGCAGACAGTGTGCCGCTGAGCTCTTGCTGGGCTGCGTACTCTCTGCATAAAGCTGCCTGATCAGGATTCTACTTTTACTATTCCATATGGTTCCGATTTTTTTATTAAAATATATAATTCATGTGATGAAGTGCAAGAAATCATGGATAGCAAGTTTGTTGACAAGTGGTAACCTCTGGAGCTGAAAAATGAAGCCAATACAAAGTGCCATGAACCTGAATGGACGCTTGAGGCTGGCCCCAGAAGCCAGTCAGTCCCCATAGACCCCCGTGTTAAAATGCCCAATTTAATAGCAGAAATAAATGTGTTTACGGCCTGGTGGAAAAAAAAAAGTAACTCACTATTAACATTTTATTAAGGCTTAAAGTTATAAGCATAATTGAGGGAGGGGCCACTGTGAGTGACAGTCTGTGTGTGAGGCATCGCTGCAGTCTGTGAGTCAGATCCACCTCTCGCTCCTCCACAGCGCCAGCCTGTCACCCAAATATGGCCACTTCTGGCTCCCAGTGACAGCTGAAATGCCGGACTCAAGGTTTCAAAATGGCAGTCCACAAGCAATGGGTGATGTCACAGTAGCTGATGTATTATTTACACATTATTATTATTTTTATACAGTCTGTGATTTAAAATTATAACAGTTAATAGCTGTGGGGTTTGATTACTAGAGTGAATTTTCAGATCCACCTTGTGGAGCTCGGATAAAAAAATCTGTCATAACCAATTTCAGACTAATGTTCTGAGACTAAAAAACGTCCACAATTTTATGTGTTGGAGGAGGCCGATGCTGACCATTATCAACCCAAATATCTGTGCTTTCACTATCAGTACCAGCGTTCAGGTTGGCAGCGTCACTAGAGAGCACAACACAAAGCAGCTGGCAGATTCCCTTTTATACTATCATTGAATGGTATTTGATCCCTTTTAGAGACACACTAAGTTGACTAAACTCATTGTGTTAATCGGCAAACATTCGACTGACAAGGAATGTTGAATTGACAGTGGTGGCAGTTGGTGGGAGGTAGTTTTCTGATTGGCTGTCTAGCCTAGAGAATCAGTGATTTCCAACATTAAATCTGGTTTCTCTTTAAATTTTTACATCTGGTTTTTCCACAGTTAGACGTTTTATCAAGCACATTCTGAATTTATATTCTGAGATGTAGATCTAAGAGATTTGATGAACAGAAATGCTTGACTGTGTCTGGTTTGTTTTTCATCTGTACCAACAAGTTTGATTTTTCTTATTACAAACTACTGGCAAACAATTTCCCCTCACACTGGCAGAAAAAAAATGCACGTATGTCTGCTTTCTGAATTCTTTGTGGTGTGTTCAAGTGCAGCATCTAACAAAAGATGTTAGGCAAAGATTTAAGTACACTTTCTAAAGTGGAGTTGGTGTGTCAGGGCCTTAGAGCCTCCATCAGGTCCTTTCTGAAAATGGCCGTGTTGCTTTCTTTTTCCTCCCCAGTATGACTGCCACCTTGGCCAGTGTCGGAGCTGCCAGTATTCCCAGTGCTGGACTGGTTACCATGCTACTGATCCTGACGGCTGTGGGACTGCCTACTCAGGACATCAGTCTGCTCATTGCTGTCGACTGGCTGCTGTGAGTCAGGTGTCTGAAAGGTGGAAGGTGTCTGAGTGTGTGTGTGAATAACAGGGAACTCTCTGCTCTGACGCCCCACAGCTTGTTCAGTTACATTTGTGACACGAGTTATAAGGTTTTTGGTGTTATTCAGCTCTTGGTGGCTCTCTACTATTTCACCCGCTGACACTGATACTGTTTGTCCACCCAGTGACAGAATGCGTACCTCCATCAATGTGGTGGGCGACTCATTTGGCGCCGGGATCGTGGATCACTTGTCGAAGGCAGAGCTCGCCGAAATTGACGCAGCAGAAATGCAAATGATCCCAACGGAGGAGGAGCTTGATTTCATCCCTCCACCCCCGATCCTCACGGAGATGGACCTGATGGAGCCCCTCAAACCGCCTGAGCTGCCCCCTCGTTCCCCTCGCCCACCCAAACAAAACCACCACGGCCCCATTCTTTCCCAGTCCCAGTCCATCACTTACTCACCGTCCCGCTCTATCCGCTCTCCATCACCACGCTCCATCCGCTCTCCCTCTCCGCGTTCCGTCTGTTCCCACTCCCCTCGGCCTTTCCGTACTCATTCACCACGCCTCCTCCACAGGACGGAGCCGGGCTACTGCGCCCTGCCGAGCCACGATAACCAGGTAACTACCCACTGCTGCTTCTTCTGGTTCTAATGCTACAGAACACTAAACACTAAAATGGTACTTTACATTTACTTTGAACACATTTTATGGAGATTGGCCTCATGGTCAGAACATACACTAGCCTCCCAAATAATCCACATGTCCTCAGGGCATTTGAGTGTCTGATTTCAAGGGTCACCTCCTTCTAACTCCACATTTCAGGACCATGCATTTGGTCTGGAAATGTGGAAGCTCACTAGGACTGTCCCTCTCCAACAACTCCTCTGAATCTGGTGGTTCATCCACTAGCCTTCAGTCCTCTGAACGACACACTTGAGAATGCATCTTCAGGCTGCATTCACACTAAAAGTGACATGGCAACAGAGCGCCCAGCTACATTATCGCTGAGTCACCATTGAAGAAATGTCAGCAATGTGCCAGGCGTTAGTTTGTAGCTTCATGTCACCAGCTTCCACTGTCGCTCGTAGTGTGAATGCAGCATTAGAAGGAGGTGGTCTGTCATCACTGTCCAAAGAAAACCATGTATCTCCAAATTTGGTGATTTTTAATTTTTCAGATAATCTAAAGATAGTGTTTTTTAATGGGTTATCAGTAATTCTCAACATCAATACATTATAAAAAAAAAAAAAGGATGGATTATCGAGCCATGACAAGTTGATGTTTTGGAGATACTTGATTTTCACATGAAAGTGATGACATGTGACTTCTCTGCAATATTTTTAGACTTGAGATGATCAGTCGATTAATCGTTTAGTTGATTGACAGAAAATTAATTGACAGCTATTTGGATTAATTGTTGGTTACAACCTCCCCAATGTGAAGATTTATTGCCATTGTAAACTGGGCATCTTTGTGTATAGGACAAAGAATATATATATATATTTGATGATGTTACCAAGGACATTTTCTGACATTGTATAGACCGAACGATTAATCACAAAAATGGTCTGCAGTTTCACAGAATGAAAATAATCGTTAATAGTTGAATATATACATATGTTTTAGGATATCAGTGGTTTGCATTGGAGTCGGTCAAAGATTGAATCTAGAGGATAGGAAGCATGGAATAATAGTAGATAGTGTACTCAGATACGCGGATGATTTAGTTCTCTCTGTCCATGTATGGCTGGCAAAATGATCAAATCACCAATCTCTACAAGCCCTAGTGTACTCCTTCAACATTTAGTGTGTGTACATGTGTAACATTCGCTGTTTTTAGGCAGCAAGTTTAAACTACATGTTCTCATTATGTCTCTTTGTTCTCTCAGGTTCCCACAATGCCTCGCTCCTACAGAGAGAGAGAGAGGGACAGGGAACGGGAGCGTCTGAGGCGAGAGAGTGAAACCGAAGAGGAGGAGGAGAGAGAGAGGGTTCTGGGTGAAGTAAGCGACGGCGAGGAGAGCGATGACACTGCTTACGACCGGAGGCATGCCATGCTGCCGAGCGACTTGCCGTGATTGGATTTTATCACCAAAAAGCTTTCCCATCGATTAGTTTCCATTTTACAACAGCTTTTGAGGTCCACAGTGGATTTCTGGCTGGTTACATTGCTTCTTCTGCTCTTGATTAACAGAACTGTTGGATGCGTGATCTGAGCTCACTTTGAGCTTAATATGCATAGATACTAAAACATCAACACATTACTTAGATGGGCCCTTAAAACCAGGCCTGAGATGTTTGCCCTTTGGTTTCCTGCAAAAGAGAGCTTAAATGGAGAGTTGTTTCCCTAGTTTACTAATGTCTCCATCACTGTCTTGACTTCATAACCAAATTTAAAATGCTCCTGCATGTCTGAACTTCCTTATATTTGCCTGATAAGAGAGAAATTTGCTCTCTCTATGAGAAAAGTATCTTGGTGTTATCAGCCTTTTAACGCACAACCACAAGTTTATAGTTGATCCTTTACCCTCGCTCAACTCCTCCCTTCTCTTCTACTTTTATTTCCCTGGCATGAAGTGAAAATTATTCAACTTAAAGGAATAGTTTACCATTTTGAGAACGACGCTTATCTCTTTTCTTGCATAGAGTCACATTAGAAAATACTTACATGTTGCACGCATGTCTGAGTAAATCCACCTGCCAGCACCTTTAAAGCTCACTAATTGACATAGTAAAATTTGTAATCCGTACTAAAAGATTTTACGAGCCAGACTATTCCTTGGCTGGGTGTGCTAAATTCATGAAGTCTCCATTGGTTTACTGCCAACTGGTCCCAGTTGAGAAATAGTCCAGGACACAAAGTCCATAAAGCCCCACCTTGTCAGTATTACACTTTGTTTTTAGTGTGGATTAACGACACAAAACACACCGTGTTAATTAATGGGATGGGCATGAGTACTTGAATGCTCGCTTTGGACGTCAGTATTTGTTCTTACAGAGTAATCGTCGCCCAACTCCCCACATGTAAACATGATTTTTATATATTTTTTTACCCTTTAAAATGGGTAAAATCTTCATTGTAGAGCTGTGTACAGTGTATTGCTCCGCTCAGTGCCTCCTTGCCCCGCTGTCGCTGCCGCTCTGTTGTCATGAGCCTACTGCTACGGGAGTGTGAGCTCTGCACTGGGGCATAGTCCATGAGAATCTGCCCATACACACACAGGAACAGGGCTAACTGTTAGCATCACATGGCTAACATTACCTAATGTAATGTTGTTAACATGTTTAGCGGAGAGGAGTGGCTTCACACTACAGAGACGGTCCTTCAAGCTTTATCTACCCTATGTTACAGCGGCATCAGAACGTTTGCTGAGTTTTCTTATGTTAACATTTAATGTATGGTTTAATACATCAACTCAAACTGACATTCCTGTTCTTACACTGGACTTTTTTGCGAGTACTTGAGTACTCTCTAATAATGTAATGTGAGTAATTGAATATTAAAGTTACTTAAAATGCCCATCCCCAGTAAGCTTTAAAGGTGCAGGTGGGCAGATTTTTTAAAACTTTGGACAGAGTCAGGCTAGATTTTTCTTCCTGTTACCAGTCTTGATGCTAAGCTAAGCTAACTGGCTACTGGCTGTAGATGTACAGAGGTTCACTCATGTACAGACATAAGTGTGGTGTTCTTCTAATTCAACTCCCCAAATGTCAAACCATTCCTTTAAATAACCTCTAGAATACCAACAGGTTCATGTAAATGAAAGAAGCACACAACTAGCAGCCGTAATTTTTATAATTCTCTACCATCTTGCATCTCTTTACTTTTCCATCCTCGGTGCTCTTCTTGCACATCACCTCCCACCTTGATGTTAATATTGTCTATATTATGTATGGTTTGTATTTTCTTGTTGTGGTCTGGTGTCTGAAACGATGAGTAATAGGCAAGATGCTGTTTTAATTTTGTTGTATGTTTAAATTGACTCGTCTCATGTATCATTCTTCATTGCTGTAAAATAACGCCGTCAGTCTCTTCCTCGCCCACTGAATTGCCTTTCATTTTAAATTTAAACTCATCAACTGCCTCCCTACATCCTCAAGTCAGACACAGGTCCAGGTCGTGTGTATATTGTATGTAATAAAAACTTAGAGGTTTATTTAAAATAACTGCAGTTCTCGTCTGATTTCTCTGCCGCTTAAGTAACTTCACACAATCTGTGGAGGGATTTGCAGTCGAAAGGGGACACGCGTCAGTGTTTGGTGACTAAAGACGCAGGAACAATCCTGTAGACAAAGATATTACTGGATGGAAAAGTTGCAACAGACACACATGGACACGTTACACGCACACACATTGATGAGACAAAGACACACAGAGATACCAACACACTTAATCCTCTCAAAGAAGAGTTAGAGATGGGCGAGGCAGGAGAGAGTGAGGGATGGGAGAGGAATCGGAGGGCGGCAGATGGCCAGAAAGACGTCAATCCTTTTCATTCTTCCCAGACAGCATAAGGGCACTGTGGGTAATTGCAAGCAGGACTGACGTTGGCTTCGGGTCCGTGCACGTCACAGAGGAGAGCTGAGTTCTGTGAAGGGAAAAGGTGAAATGCTGCAGGTCACCAGAAAATCAGTTGAAATCTGACAGTGTGTTGAGGTTTGTCTGGAAATACGAGAATTTCAGTTCATTCATTCATTTGTGATGATGTTCGTGGTTGATGGTGTCTGTGGAATGGAGCACTAATCTGTCCTGTAGCATGAGAGAAAGCTCCGACACATGACATGAGGATATCACACCATCTGAGGCGACAAGGGGGTCAGGAATTTAATCACTGCAGCCATCGTCATCGAGAGGAGAGTGTGTGCGTGCGTGCGTGTGTGGGATGGAGGTTATGAGGAGCATCATCTGCTCCAAACTCGGTCTGTTTTCTTTACTTTAGCTCAATTCAAACATATTCTAGAGTCTTTCATTATCATCTTTGCCAAACAATGAAAGTTTGAGGTGTTAATTATCTCAATTTTTAGACATTTCCATCCCTGAAGTTTAACTGAACTCACGAAGGATTCATTTACTGGACCTCAAGCTAAATAAGTCACAGATAAAGACAAAACTGAGATGAAGAAACTTACTTTGAAATGTTGTAATATGCTCAAACATAATGTGGAAAAAATGTGTTAAAAACTGGAAACAGGATAACTTTTTAATGCATCTATGCAGGCTTTTGCTTTCTTTTATTAAACTTTAAAAAACATTTTTTTTTTCATTTTAGTCGTGTCAGTTTAAATACAACTTGAATAACTATTGTTTTTAGGATTACAGAGGAGCTATTCCCATTTTCAAAACTCATACATGTTATTCCTATAATCTGAGACAGTCCAAATAGTCTTTCCCAAACCCCAAAACAAGAGTGCTAAAACTCAAATCTGTGATGTCAGGGTTTGCAGTCTGGAGCTGCTCCATAGACAATGAATTAAGATGTTGACACTGAGAGCTCCAGGAGGAATGTTCTGAGTATATGGGCACATTTTCTGTTTCAGAACTGAGAACACCACAATACATTCAAGCTACTTTGGGTATAACAAAGAAAACAAACATTCTGTGGGTCCACAAAATCAGTCTCCTATTCACTGTCTATGGAGCAGCTCCGGACTTTATACTCTGTGACATCACAAGTTTGAGACTTCTGTGGATTCTGTCTTTGAGAGAGAGTAGCTTATTGTCACAAATATTAATTGAACTTTCCTAGGCGGTGGAAATAACATATTGGAATTCTTAATTTAGGTGGTGTTCCCCTTTAAGGTAGCACCAGGTTAATGTAAGCTCCAAGCCTCTCAGCAATCTAATAATGTAATTTATCAAGGGCTAATACAAACACTTTACCAGTCCACCTGACAATTATTTTTCTTGATTAATCAGTTAATCATTTGGTTGATTAAATATGTGAAAATAGTAAAAAGATATACAATTTTAAACAATATAAATCAGAGAAAAAGCAGCAAATCATCAGATTTAAGATGCTGAAACCATCAAATACTTGACATTCCTACTTGAAAAATTAATTAAACAATTGATTGATTATCACAATAGTTGCCTTTCTCTTGATTAAAGGTATGCAGGTTTGTCAGTTGCAGTTTGTAAACACGGTCTCCAGCAAAAGTGAAAGTAAAAGTCGATCCCAGATTCACTCTCGTTTGGCATCGTGCCTCGCTATATATGTTGGGATTTTTCCGCTGTGTCTTTTGGTAGCTGGTTGCTACCTTTTACAAAACCCAACCTCACCTGAGCGCTGTGGGGGTACATGCCTGTAAATGTCCTGAACACAGAAAATAAAAAGTAAATGGGGCAAAGTCTGAGCAGAAAAATTCACCGCCACACACTTCTTGTGTCTCATAAGTGATAGTTAAGAGGAATTGCTACTGTATGAGTCTATACATTGTTTTTAAGGAAAACCCTGCATGATGTAGCTTTAACTAATGGATTAATAGACTTATAGTTTCAACACTAGATTAAATACATTAATGACAAATAACTAAGTAACAAGCTTTAGAACTGTTTTCAGTTTTAGTCTTCAGTTATAGTTAAATCCACTAAATAAAGTATTGAATAGCAATAGTATTTTTTAACAGAATAGTACTGGCTTGATGTGAAACACCTGATGCAATCACATGAGAAGTTTGATCTGCTACCAGTTTGGTACAATAAGTCAAGAATAATTATTTTTGTGGATCGCATGGAATGAAAACAGCATAACTTAAGTCATCTGGATCATATGGCAAAGATGAATATTATCATTTCAAGAGGGAAAAATGTTGCGTATGGTTACTCTGAAGTCTTTCATGTCCCATTAGTGTAAATTAAATCCAGTGGCTGCAGGAGTGAGACAGATGTCCCGGTTTTAAAACACACAGTCTGACATCTAGAGGCAGGATCACTCATCACATGCAGCACAGTGCAACATGGACACGTACACAATCTGTACCACACTATAGCTTTTCTCAGCGTAATACTGAGATGTGCAGCCTCCAGTGTGCATCACCCTCGCTCTAATAATACTGTATGAATGCCTCGTGATGCTTTTAAAACGTTGTTTACATTTGAGCACACATCATCGCATTCTCCGTGAGTCACTGTACAGCGAGTCATGCGGAAGGAATTCAGAAATCCATGACATGAGTGACTGAATATGATCTTTATTAAATAATAAGACTCATATATATACTATGTACATATACACAGCCACATCTGTCCTCACAATATACGCAGGTTACACAACATCCACACAGTCTAAACAACTTAGAAAAGTATCTTATGTTACCACTACGTTTTGAGAGTATAATTCTATACAAAAAAAGGTTAAACATTCGCCTTCTTTGGGCTTAAAAAATGATTCTTAATGACTACAGACAACTTGAAGTCATGTCAATTACAATGAATGGAAATGGTGACAAACACATTCTCATTATCTTCCACATACTCATATTAATGACAAGATATGGCTAAATAAACATCATCCACATCATGATTACCTCAAAGGTCTTTAGTTCTGCTGGAATCTGTGAACATAGTGTTTGTATTCAGGAGGAAAGGGATCAAATGGTGTCAATAACATGGATAAAATATTTGACCATGATATATACATTTGTAATAACAGTATATGTTATATCACAATATACAAACATTTCTAGAACTTCAATTGAGAAATTGTTTGAAGATAAATTTGAATGAAACACCTATAAAAGGAAGATGCTTCATCACAGTCGTATAGTAATGTATTTTCATATCTCCCACCTCTGTTAGGAACAATACAGTGATATTAAAGATAACCCTGATATTAAAAATGAAATTTTGATATCATGTTAATAATACGTGTATGATCACATTGTGTAAACAATCCACCGCCTCTTAAATATTTCTTCCATTCCCATTTTGTCTCTCTCCCGCAAATCATGTTGCTTTTCTCTATCCATTAAGTGTAATTGCTCTTTTTGTACAATTTTGTACAGTTATACAAACTCTCCACCTCTGTACACTCATATTTAGAGTGTAATTCATTTGCCAAAGAATAAACAAAACGCACAACAAATATAATTAAAGATGATAGCATCATTATTAGTGGTAGTATTTACACATTTTCTACATATATTAGGTTAATATTGTGAACTCTTTAGGCCATGATAATCATGTAGTGAAAATCTGATTTCGTGCCACCCCTAGAGCAGACACACGGACAGCATTAAGAAGGATTACTTCACAAGACTGGTCTCAGAAGTATCCGTGCAATTTTGGAATAATTCAGCAATGAACTCTTGTCACAGCTGGAATTCATTGTAGGCAACATTTCAGTCAAATAACTGACCATTTTTAACAAAATAAAAGCTTATATTTAGCAAAGTTATGCCCTGCTTTTTGTGGGAGCTCTCAAAGTATCCGAGCAGCAATGAGGACTCTGATGGAAGAAATGACCCCCTCCTAATAAACATATACATTAACATTAGTTCTTAGTGAAATCAGAAATATGAAGACTTGACACATAAGGAGGAGGAGGGGGTGGTGGAGGGAGTTGGCAGAAACATATAAAAATAACCAAGAGGTGCCAAAGGCTGCGCATGAATGTGATTTGGTGTTAATAGTCAGCTGGTAGCCAAATAGCCAATGACTGAGCCACTGATTGTGAATCAGCTGATGGAAACTGCAAACTTTTTATAGCCACCTCTCAAACAAACAGAGGGGAAATGTTTATTATTAATGTTAAATAACACATCTACTCTGTGCGGTGTGAGACAGAGAGCTAAGTGAGGGCGAAGGTCTCATCGACGTGATGACAAAACCGTGGAAGGTTAAAGTACCACCACTGTCGGACCATCAGAGTACAGTGTTGCTCCAGTCACTGTAGAAATGTCAGCTGGCTTTGAGCTATACTGTCTCTGACCTGATGTCAGCTTTCTCCACACACCTCTCCAGGCTGTATCTATTACACTGCTGTGTGTAACATGCAAACTGGATTTGGACCAGCTACATGAACTCTGTCTGCACCGCCGGCAGCCGATGAGCGATCTCTTTGTTGTCAACGTCAGCACGAGATTACAGAGCCGCATTTCTGCCATAACTCTGATGAGTACAGGGCATCAACACCTGCAACACTCACTGTACATTTAGCTCCTACAGTGTGTAAACAGCAGCGGTTAGTGCCACTACAGTTCACTTAACACCATCAGATAAATGTGCAGTGAACAGATTTCTTGCATGCAACACTTCAGTCAGTCACATTACTGCAACAGTGACATCAGTAAACAGTCATTACATGGATTACACAACTGATGTCCCTGTTTGTAGTTTATATTGACTTTTGGTGATGTAATGTCCTTTTCACATTTGAGATTTTTGCAGACAGGCACCACAAAGGTTATTTAACAACACTTTGCTCTGTTTTAAAGACATTTCCAGGTCCCTCAAATATTCCACTATCCAGCCAGGATAAAACATATTCCATCTGCTGCGGAGTAAGGAAGATTTTTAAGCTGCCTTTCAAGTAACGACTCTTTTGTTTAGCCAAACAAAGACGGTGGCTGGAGGCGTCACTAACTCAATTTATTTGACAGGTCCGTAATTTCTTAATCACTTCTTATTAATTCTCTAGGTCGTTTCTTTGCAAGGAGTGTTCAGTATTGATTATATGGGCATAAAAACAGTGTTCTGTGGGCAGTCTCCAGCAAATACATTCCAATGACTTGCCATTGTAACCGAGATAGTGTTTTAGTCAACATACAGCAGTAAAACTCAACAGTTTGAAGAAATGTTACAACTGTCCACAGGCGAGCCCAAATCTATATGTAGAGAGTTTCCAATAATAAATGTACAACAAACTGGGTTTAAATCAAAGTTTTCTTTCAGTGAAATACCAATTTACATTGTAGTTTCCAGGAAACATACCAGGAAACTATTAGGTAAATTATGGACCCATAAAAGGAGTCATTACATGGAACTTTTATAACCAGGTTAATCTTATTTTTCTTGCCTCCCTGATAAAATTGTAGGCCACCCTTGAAAAATAATTGGCGGCCAATATTACCGTCTTTAATAGCTGTGCTCATTTTTTAAGCTACCCTAATGGTGTCTCGTGAAACAAGAAAATCTAAGGCATCCATTGGTGCCAACCGTGTCGGCAGAGCTTGTCGGGAAGGAGGCTTAATGCTACAGACTTAGGCTAAATTTTGGCATGGCCATTTTCAGGGGTTCCCTTGAACTCTCATCTCGAGGTACCTGAATGAAAATGGGTTGTATGGGTACCCACGAGTCTCCCCTAAACCTCAGAAGGCGTGTTCCCAGTAAATGTTTTGTTCCTTACAATCAATGTGCTCCTTCAAATTAAAGCAGTATGTTTCTGTTTTAAGGAAAAGGACAACCAGCCTATTGCCGAACATGTACAGATAGATAAAACATTATAACAGGATTGTTGTGTGACTCAAAATGTAAACTGTGCTGGTTTTAGTCCCTGCACATCAGCTAATTACTGCCATTCCATAACTCTCCATATTGACATAGTTTTAGCCTTGACAGCGTTGAAATTCATTTATGGCTTTTGGTTTTACTGTCCCACCCCCAAGATTTTCAGTGGCCCCATCTGGCCATCCCTTTGAAAAAATTTTGGGGACACTACTGGCAGCAGGTAGAATGTTTTTTTTAATTGAGCTGGATAGAGAATAACGCCTGGACATGTCTTTAACACAGCAGTGAATTTTGTCTAATGACCTGCAGAGTTTTTATTTATTTATTAAGAAAATAGATTCTTGCTGTAAATCAAATATTATCATGCAAAAACATGCAACAGTAACAAAGTAGAGCTTATATCAGTCCAAGTCTCCTGTATCATTCTGCCAGAATCTTTCCATCATTGCACTCTCTTCTTCTTGAAGTGAAGCAGCATTACATGTCTGCCCTGCTCTCTGTCAAACCTGAGTGACCAGAGGTTCTTTGAGGTAAAAGTTTATCCCTCTCTGATGACCAGCTTCCTGTCCGGCACAAAGCCCTGCCAGGATAGTCCCATTGAGCGGTGGGCAGATACCCCTGCTGTCCTGCCCATACAAGGGCACATAATCTCCCATGTGTTCATGCTCCTCGTCATCTCCTTCCTCATCTTCCCCCTCTTCATCGTCCTCTTTGTCCCAGAGCGATGTGGTGACGTGGTTGTACTCTGTCGTGTCCTCACACTCCATCTCACGGTGGTAGAAATAGCTGAAGTTGGACACAATGACAGGCACGGGCAGAGAAATGGTGAGCACGCCGGCGATGGCGCACATGGAGCCCACCAGCTTCCCCCCGACCGTCTCCGGGTACATGTCCCCATAGCCGACTGTTGTCATGGATACCACAGCCCACCAGAATGCCTCAGGGATGCTGGTGAACGACGTGTTAGGACTGTCCACCTCTGCAAAGTAGACGGCACTAGAAAAGAGTATGACTCCAATGAAGAGGAAGAAGATGAGCAAGGCCAGCTCTCTGAGGCTGGCCTTCAGCGTCTGGCCCAGGATCTGGAGGCCCTTGGAGTGACGAGAGAGCTTAAAGATCCTGAAGACCCTCACCAGCCTGATGACCCTGATGAGTGCCAGAGACACGGACGGCTGTGCGTCTTTGTCCTTGGTCAGCTCCGTGCCCAGGGTGACAAAATAGGGAATGATGGCGAAGAAGTCGATGGTGTTCATCACGTCTTTGAAGAAGTGCACCTTGCTCGGAGCACAGGTGAAGCGCACGATGAGCTCAAAGGAGAACCAGATGATGCAGACCGTCTCTACAATAAAGAAGGGATCCTGGAAGGTAGTCAAGCCAGGTGGGACCGAGATAGTTTCGTTGGCTATAGTGGGGTGAGGTATGGTGGTGGATTGCTGTAAAACAAAGGATGAAGGAAAAGTGGTTACAGTTGCATTCAAAGATTAAAGATATCAAAGCAGACCACGTATATTCTACCATCTGCTGTTTATCAAACATGAGCTGGAAGGAGACATGAGAATAAGGGGAAAGGTAAGTCTATAATAAATATCACCATGGAGACAATGTTCACAGGAGAGTAAACAGAGAGGAAACAAGGACAGAGGATAAGTGAGAAGTAGCGATTATTCCGAAAGTTTGCACTCAGCATATTTAGAGTATGACACCTGTCATAAGGATCTGATCGAGCCTGTGAGATCAGTGATACGGTGCTAACTTTTCTCTCCTCTCCATTTTCACTCCACCGGCTTTATTTTTCCTCACCGACTTTTATATAAATCAGTTTCTCTATATTTAAATGCACACAAAAAAACATTAAGTTCATATGACGCTGGGTTGCGTTACACCCCAGACATTGGCATGGCTGGAGCATCTGACACTTCATTTAACATGGTTGCTTGTTTTTTTCTGGGAAGTAAATGTGGGTTTGAAATGGCTGGGCATTAATGTCTTTCAGCAAGTTAGATAGAGTTACTCTGAGCTCCTGGTGGCCTTGCACACATATTGTCCCCAGAACTACAAGTATTCATTTAGATGTTTATATGTTTCTCTCTCACCATTAGCCTCATGTCTTCATGTGTCTTTATACCAACCAAACTGTTTGTCATATTTTCAAAGTGAAGACTAACACAGCTCAGATCAGGTTGACTGCATATTTTTGCATGTGATGAGTGCAAAGTAGCCATTAAGATAATTAGTTCTTACTTCGTAGAGGTTTTGAGATCTCCACCTCGAGATTAAAAGTCAAGTGTGTAGGATTTAGGGGGATATAATAGCAGAAATTGCACCTATATAATATTCATACCAAGTTTTCATTAGTTTATGAACACCTTAAAATAAGAATCTCTATGTTTATCCATACCTTAGAATGAGCTGTTTACTACATCTACATATGGATACATACGGTCCTCTTCCACGGAGCTCACCATGTTGTTCTATGGTTGCCGATTATGGACAATTCATACTGACCCATGATGGAGCCATTTGTGTTTCTGCCTCAACCAACATAGTTCTCCTACATCCTCCTGGCACAAGGAAAATTTTTCAGCTCTGCAGTTGCACCGCTAGATGCTACTGAGTTCTACACACTGGACCTTTAAAAGAGCTTTACAACAAGATTAATATAGCAACAAACAACTATTTGCTATGTAAATGTATAGTGGCTTAATGGCGTCCGGAGCAGAGAGTGAAGTCATGCTCCCTTTGGTGTGTTGTAATCCAAGCCTCGCTGTTCTTTGATAGCCAGTCTGGCTGCACATGCATGTTAGTGCATGTGAGTCCCTGTGTATGTGTCCCACTGGCTAGCAACTGCTAATCACCACCACTCTGTACTGCGCTCATATGGCGGTAACCACCATCATGGTTGGCGTGGTGGTGGCAGTGCAGAAACATAACGCACACACTCCGGGGAATCTGTCAGCACTGTTGCTGTTGTTAACACTGTTCACGCTGTTAGCACTGTTAGCTTCTAGCCACCAGCTCAGCCACCTCCATGTTAAGAGCCATGTGCAGACAACCCCTGAATTATAGGTATGCTCTGAATGTCGTACAGAGCACCTTAAAAAATCACATCAGCCTTATCTTTCCTTTGTGTTTAGCACTTACTAGCAAATATTAGCATGCTAACCACTGACTATATAGAAAGAAGAAAGACATCTCCACATACTCCCACTGTAGAAAGATGAAGCCTATATATCCCAGATATGGCTGCTGCCATCTTGTGCTGGTGACATCATTTGGAGCCAGAGTCTGCACAGTAGTGATTTCTGCTGTATCAATTTCCTGTCCATAAACCCATCCGACCAATCGCAAGCAGCGCCCCTGAATGCCAGCACACTGATTGGCTTTCATTGCTGTCAATGATGATGTCACACCCTCTTTTTGTAACATCAAATTACTTATAAAATTTCGGAAATTAGAATTTCAGATCAGAAAAACGAACACTTGAACATGAAGCAATGTGATAAGAACTACCTAAAATGAAACCATCTTTGGGAAAAAATTGTGTTGTCATGTTGTCCACCTTTATATACAGTCTATGATGTTAACACATTGAACTATTGTAATATGGTTTACATGGTAAACGTTAAACCTGCTAAAAAATCAGCATGTTAGCATTCTCAAGTTAGCATTTAGCTCAAAGCACCAAAGTGCCCCAATACAGCCTGCTGCAAGGCTGTGGACGCTTAATCTAACTATTTTTTTTAGATACTTTGGGCAAAAACAATATCTCATTAACCTCCATTGTATTGGGTTGATGGCAGAAATCAAATTAGTCAATATGTCAAAACCTGTCCCAATAGTGTTTTGTGATTTAAAGCATATAACTTGTCTTACAGAACCACCAAAACGCATGCAACAGAATCTAACAAAACTAATCTGGTTGGCTAGATTTTCACTACCATCTGATGAGTGAGTGATTGCGTGGGGATGGCTTTGCATGCAGGTTTGGTTTTGTTTATGTAGCGTTCCAAAAGTGTCAAATGCTCCGATCACATGAGCATATCTCTCTATCTATGTATGGGAGAAACGGAGCAGTGTTGGTGGTGATGGGGGAACGTAAATCCAACGAGTTGCTGCCGCGGTGTCACTTCTGCTACCCGGACCTCCAGAATGCGCCTCTCATCTCCAGGCTACAGGAGCAAGTGCGAGGCTAATTTGATTTTAGCGGTGGTCATCAGAAAAGTTGATCTGCGAGCCTCGTTTCCATGCTGTTTTCAGTGTGTAGCCTATGAGTCATAGCGTTTATTAATACAGACGTGCGTTTATGTGTTGATGTGCTCTTAGAGTTGTCCTTCCTCTATATATAGCCCTTTAGATCTCCAGGGGGTAACGTGAGACAAGCTCATCTTCTTTCCTTCCCTTCACACTAGCTTCTTTACCTCTAACTCCTTCCACTCTCCCTCTCTCTTCTCAGTACTTTAGATGTATCCACTCCACCTGAAAGTGTTTCTTGGCTCTGGCAGACGTCCCTGAGTGGCCGACAAGGCCGACATATCATCTCTACAATGTAAACCACCATCCAGCCTGCTGCTCTGTCTGCTCTCGTCTTTCCTTACTCTGGTTTTTCCACCAGCGGTTTAACTGCCCTCCTCATCTCCTTCATTCCTTTCCATCAATTTGAGTGGATCAGATTTAACGACAAGTCCAAAATAATCTCAGGAAACCTCGCCCTCGCCTTCTCCTCTCCATCGGCTGCCTTTGCTTTCCCTTCCCTCGATCTTTGATGTTTCTAATCATCTGTCAGTTTTACTTTCCATTTTCCCCTCAGTGTTGAGAGATCAAGATGTTTCCACCTCGTGCTTCAAGAGCTGGTTTATGTTTGGCAAAGTGACACCTGTCAGCACATGTTGTCCTTCTACGTTCACCTCATCAGTTCCTCACAGTGTTAACCTCTGTTCTTTTTGCACCCTGTCAGCTACCTCCACTGATCTGGTTGTTTCCATACAAACCCTCCATCTGCAGCCTTGTGAATCCTTCTCTGTGTCAGTGCCATGTATGTATCCTCACCTCCCTCTGTTCCTTCTCCAACCTGAACTCAGGCAGAGTCTCCAGGCAGAAGATAAGAATGGAGATCACGATGACCATGACACTGATGATGGCAATGATCCGAGCTCCACTGGAGGACTCCGGATACTCAAACAGCATCCAGAGGCGACGCTGCAATTCATTGGTGGGTAAGGGCCTCTCCTCCTCTTTGGGGAATCCTTCATCCGCTTTGTAGTGGTCGATGATCTCTTCTCCGAGCTCATAGAAGCGCAGCTCCTCCAGGAACATGTCCAGAGGGACGTTGGCAGGCCTCCGCAGCCTCCCGCCTGACTGGTAGAAGTACAGGATGGCGTCGAAGCAGACACGGCTTCTATCCAGGAAGAGTTCATTCCGTGTAGGGTCAAAGTAGCGACTGCGACGCAGGGGGTCACCCAGCAGGGAGTCCGGGAACTGGGCAAGGGTGCGGAGCTGGGTCTCATAACGCATCCCCGACACGTTGATGACCAGACGTTCCTTCACAGCCCAGCCGTTCCTCATGTGACGACGGCTGTGTTTCTTTACCTCTCCATTGCTCTCCTTCTCCAACTTGTTTTGCTTGTCTTTAGTCTTTTTTTCTACATCGTCAACATCCTCAGCTTTCTGATTGTCTTTTGTCTGCACTCCTCCTCCTCCTCCTTTACCTCCTCCCTTGTCTTGATTATCCATCACTTAGGCTCTATTTCTTGACGTACTTTTCTTTCCTCTTCACTCTGGGTAGAAGAAATCAAGGTTAACATGGTAATGCAGAAACAACAGAACAGGGAAACGTGACACATAAACAGAGTTGTGATCTGAATTCCTCTCAAATCATGTGTCAATTATTGAATGTATTCAAATTGCTTAGGTTTAATTTGTCCTTTTCTTATCTTGCCAAATTTATTAAAGAAAATCAAGATGAAAAGTTCAAATCTTGAACTTTCAATCACCAGGGATAATTGATGAAACCTGAATGGCACTGATACAATTTCTGTCCTGTCAGGTTAAGTCCGGTCAGTCATATGATCCTCGTAAGAGATATCCAGCTGAGTAATGGGAAACTTACATGTTTATATCAGTTGGTTAAGCTATTGGAATTGCAGACTTGAAATGAGCCGACACGTTAAACAAGGGGAATTCAAACCTTGTGGATTCAGATAATGTCTGAGATTCTGACGGACCGACAGAATCATTTCTCACTCAGGCTGGGACGTTTTACTGGACTGTACAGCAGCTTACAGTAGTAAAAACAATAAGATTTAAAAAAAGCAAAAACATATACAATCCACATTGAATGATGAGCACAAAACTACATTACTTAGCAACAATATACTACAATATACAGTACTTATGACATAAGAAAATAAATACAGTAATATTTAATACTTTTTACTTCTACCTTTTAATAACAGTGTTTTAATAGGTTATTAATATGAAAAAAATTGCCCCTTTTGAATTTAATTATGTCATTAATTCCAATTATCAGCAACACTGCCTCACCAAAAATACATTATCATTTTCCCCAAATATTTTTAAACTGACCATAAAATATTAATTATATTTTTTATTTTCTCTGTAAATTCGGCTGAGCAACTTTCTGGACAACAAATGAAACGCATTTTGATAGAAATTACATTGATGTGTATCATGTTAAGAGTGAGTAGAAATGTGCTGCATTGCAAATAATTAACCATATGTTTAACAACAAAGAATTTGTGTTCAAATGTTCCTGGTTTTTACACTACTTTGTAGATTTGTGCAATTTTTAAAATTGTTCTTTATGGTAAACACATCATGCAGACCCTTCATGCAAAGCCCTCCATACATGCAGTCAGCTTCATGCTCATCACCAGTTTATCGCCATGTCCAGTTCACCCAGTAGAGATCTCCGAGACCCCGTCTGCCTGCCAGAGCTGCTGATTCAAACTAAGCACCCCTCCAGATAGTGACCATAACTCATACGGCACCTCCACCTCAGGGTGCCTTTTGGGCTGACCCTTTCCTTCCCACTGAGACAGTTTGTGTATCAATTCCCATCATCATGATGTCCAGACAACCCTCCAGACAACCCCTCCTCCTCCTCCTCCTCCTCCTCCTTCTCCTCCTCCTCCCTGTTGTCCCACCTTCATGTGTCACGTTTGGGAGGGGAGGTGGCAGAGGGAGTAGTGTGGCTCCTTCAGGGGCTGCTGCTGCTTCGGTGTTAATCTGCCGCGCGGGTGAAGTTAAGATAGTTAAGCTTGTTTGTAGGTCACTGACAGTCTTCACTTGCGCTCTCTCTCACGCTCAGTGCGGCCCCGGGAATGCTGTCAGGCCGAAATTCAATCTTTGACCCTCTCCTCCTCCAAGAGCACTGCTGCCGCTTCTCCCCACCTTTTCTCTGCCCCCAGCTACCCTTCCTGCCCGAAAATGTCAACCCTCTTAACCCTTCACCCTTTCTTAAACATACTGTGGAGGCCTACATGTTTTTCATACATGTGTGCACATGAACTTGCACACTCACATGGCAGAGGCCAATACTATTATGTTTATAAAAGGAAAAGTTGTGGTAGTGATGATCATGAGACTACAGATATGTGTATATTTAATGTGTTTTGTCACCAACTGCTTACTTTGCTGTCATCATCATCATCTATTTTAAATTAGGCTTACATTTGGTTATTTGATGTTTTGGCTTGTACAGAATTGTCAACAAATTTAAAACAGGCCAAATGAAACTCGACCTGCCGGTGCGGTCTGCATTTTAAATGAAATATAAATCTGGATGTCTGTGGTTATTTTAGACTCATCATGAAGTCTGCACTCAAACGTCTATGTGTGGCAATGTATCTGTGTACAATAAAACTACAATTCCCACAACAGGAAGCACTTTGCAATTGTTGCCTTTAAATACTCTGAGTAAATTCCAGAATCATAAATGCAGTTTGAGGTAAATTAAACAGGAAATTGGACACTACCAAAGTCAGGTTTTTGGAGGCTATGGGGAATATGGTGATAGTGTGTCATTTGAAACACATTTGTGGAAACACATATATATGAAAGCCTTTTATTTTGATGCATGTGTTAGGCTTTCCCCCACATATTTTTAGCCATGCTGTAAAAATAGCTCAAAGGATGCATTATTGTAAACTACCTTGGTCCAGACTTGAATATCTCAACAACTATTTGATGGATTGCCATTAAATTTTCTTCAGATATCCGTGATTGCAAGAGGGTGAATCCCACTGACTCTGGTGAACCTGTGATATTTTCTTCAGCACCATCAGCAGGTCAAAGCTTTCAGTTATTGTGTGAAATACTCCAGCATCTATTGGATGGATTGGCACAAACCAGATGTTCATGTCCCCCTCTGAAAAAAATGTGATCACTTCCCTGACCCACTGACTTTTTATCTACTGCCATCATTTGGTTAAAATTATTTCCCCCCAAATCCTTATATATCATCAAATTTAAGTGGGCTATATGAATATCAGAGGTGTTAGCATTTTTTGTGCAGTCATAGTGGAAAACAAATGTAAAATAAAGAATTATTAGCACTAGTAGTTTTATTTTACCCATCAATTGTTTTACTAAATAAAATGTACAATTTGGTGACCTAGTTCCCCACTTTATTGACAGTTTTGGAGTGAACCTTGTGATTTCCGATGCTGCCACAAGCACCTGAATGCAGCAAAGCAAACCGCATGATTCAGTGGAACTTTGAACCTCACACACAAACTGCACTGATCATTACAGGAAATGGATGAACTGTAGAGACACTGACGTGCTGAGAAAAGTAAGTGTAAATAAAGTAGAAAAATAATTAATTCTCGTCTCGTGCAGTGTCACAGGAAGCGCTGTTTGCCAGCAGCGCAGCTTTGCGGCGTTTTACGACTTACTTCCATCATCCTCATCATCATCATCACAACCGAGATGTCCCCTCGATACCACAACAAAGTTGTCATCGTGACCGGAGGATCCAAAGGGATTGGCAGAGGGATTGTCAAAGTGTTTGGTAATTAATATTATTAATAATGTGGATTTGTTTGTGATCAGACAAAAAGTGGCGCACTGAGTACTTTTGCGTCTTTTTCTTTTTAGTGGAGAATGGAGCCAAAGTGGTGTTTTGTGCAAGAGGAGGTTAGTGGTATTACTTTTATTCCACTTTCTCTATTAAATTGTGTATTAATTGAGAAATGTATCACCTCATATCCATTTATCATCTGTTATCATCTGTCATCTGTACATGACTAATTCATTCATACAGTATTGTATTGTTGGTGTCATTACTTAATGAATAAGTTGTCAATGCATGGCAAATTTTAGGTACTTGATACACCAGTATTTGTTTAATAGTAAAGCACTGCATGAGATAAATGTAAAATGTTAAACCAATTAAAAGTATCTCAAGTTTGTACTTAGGCTATTTGAGTGAATATGTTTAGTTACTTTCCACCTCTGGTTATAACTTTAATGCACACATTGTACTGAAAGACAATAACACCTTAAATGTGAATAAACATTTCACCATGGTCACACCTCTATCACAGGTGCAGTGGGTGAGGCTCTGGAGGCGGAGTTAAACAAAGCAGGGCCAGGCTCATGCAAATTTGTCACATGTGATGTCTCCAAAGAGGATCACATCAAGGTAATGTGCAACTTTAGTGTTATTGTTCTGGTTATGGTGTACATAGATTTATAGGTCACTTATGAAAGGAACAGATGATCATAAGACCTGCGTGTGTGTGTGTGTGTGTGTGTGTGTGTGTGTGTGTGTGTGTGTCCTGTTTATCAGCTGATTTATCTCAAGACCAAAAGATTCAAAGATCCAAGCTAAAGATTTATTCTCACCAGATAGTCAAAGTTTTTTCCCCTAGTTCTCACCTGTTAAAACTGGCTCGCCTTCATTCTTGAACTTGTAAAACTTGCCATTTGGTCAACTACAACCAGTTCTGTGTTTGCCTGAGCTTCTGTTTGCTCTACTGGGTGAAGCACACGTGTTTTGTTAGAAACAACTGGTTTGTTATCCAAAGGCAAATTGTGTGATTGTCTCCTCACAGAGGTTGATCACAGTCACAGTGGAACATTATGGACACATTGACTGCCTGGTCAACAACGCAGGGTGGCGTGAGTCTCACATTTCCTTCGTCCCTCCAGCAGGTGTGATGATGAAGTCATGAGGATGCTTTCGTCCTTAATTTATCTCCTTTTCTCTCGCCCTGTCTTCAGACCCGCCTCATAAACCCACTGATGACACCACAGCAGAGGAGTTCAGGGATCTGCTGAATCTGAACCTCGTCAGCTACTTCTTGGCTTCTAAAGTAATGTTTCCAACTTGTTTAAAACTTCTTCAAATGACAGATCATTTATTGTAACTTTAATCACTACTGAATGCCTTCTCTCGTTATTTAACATGGTTTTAAGTGGTGTCATTTATTTAGTTATTTTTATCAAATTTAGATTCAAAGATAAAGTGTCCAGTACTGAAAAAAGATGTGTTTTTTTTATTGCTTACATTTAGTTTGTCCATTTTAGAGCTAAAAAATTAATTTAAGGCAAAATAAAATTGACGATTAAAGTTCAAAACTTGAACAATTGGGCATCAGGGATAATCAATGGAGCCTGAATGGCACTGGTAAGACTAATGTCCTATCAGAAACCCAGGGTGCGTTCAGCTGCAATAAAACATAACAAAACATTAATTTAAATGGTGGTACATTGAACACCCTGTTGGGTATGCAACTGCACTGTCTTTTAATATGGGAGTGTTTATATATACATTGCTGGGGTACACATCTTACACACTAACCAAACGAGAGAAAACTTAGCCTACCTCAAAACCCGTTGCACACGTTTCGAGGAAACATATCGTTCAACCAAGAAGCCATAGAAAATAGTGCACATTGTTTTTTGTTTGGACGTGCCCCAGTTTTGTGATTGAAAACCTCACACACTTCAATTTGCGATTTGAATTTGTTATGTTCTTGAAATTGCAAACCTGATATGAGGCGGCACTTTTGAAGATGGGAACGCATCCCTCATGGATTTAGATAAATTCCATTTTTGTCAAATACTTAAGTGCTTTAAATTCATTACCAGAGTTCCAATACAAAGTATTTAGTAGTGATTTAATTCCACAATTAAAGGTACACTATGCAGAAATTATGGGTTACTGTTTGTTAACACAAACTTCAAACTTGGCCCCTCCTTCCTTGTAAGCGGCTATTGTAGTAATATGACATTTGTTGTAGTGGAAAACCAATACTTTAGCAGCACTAACTTAAACACTGGCACCTTTCTTTCCAACAGAAAACGGGCCAACTCTCCTTCAGTGTTCGCCAGTGAAATTGAAAACCAACCCCAGATTTACACTCGTTTTACCATGAGCTTTGTCCACTTGGGGTTTCACCTCACTATATTTGTATTTTTGCGTTGCTATGTCCGCAATTTTCTCAGCTTCCTCTTGTATCCATGCTGCTTACAGTGTGGCATGTGGTCGCCACCTTTTTATAAAGTCCCGATATCCCCTGTGTGCTGTGCCCAGGCACATCCCCAACACGGCAACACAGGAAGAAAATAAGAATATACAGGCAGAGGGCAGAGTCTCTGCAGATAAATACACCACCACACACTTCTAGTGGGTCATAAATGATGATTGAGTGGGATTACTTCTGTATGAGTCTATACAGTGTTTATAGGAAAATCCTGCATGGTGTACCTTTAATTTATCAGCTGCTTTTAGAGAATTATTTTTACTGTACATACATAGCATTATTATTGTGACATTTCTTTGCTTCCACTAACTCACACACCTACAGACACACACTGTATGTATGTATGCAGGATCTTTGAAGTAATATTTTAGGTCTCACCCTCTCTCCAGTATGCGTTGCCGTACTTACGACAGCGTCAGGGAAACATCATAAATATTTCCAGTCTGGTGGCAACCATCGGTCAGAAACATGCTGCACCGTATGTTGCCACCAAGGTGAGTTCATTATTGAGTGTCATTATTTCATAAATCTCAGCTGAAAAGAGAGCAGAGTGCTGAAATGTTATCTTCTTTCCACAAGGGGGCGATAATCTCCATGACAAAGGCGATGGCTGTGGATGAGAGTTGCTACAATGTGAGAGTGAACTGGTGAGCCAAACTGCACTGTGACTCGGATGAACGGTTTTCTGGGACTTCTTAAGGAAAGTATAAATACAGCAATGTAGAAATACGCCATTATAAGCAAAAGCCATACAATAGCAATCTTAAGTTAAAGCACAGAAGTATTATCAGCCAAATGTGTCAAAAGTAATGGTACCCCCTCTGTGGTAAAATGTCTGTTGTGACATGTGTATTATATATGACATTATGAGATTGTTAGCTGTAGCTGCTCTAGGTGGAGCTATTTTTAACTACTTTATATACAGTTAGTTTAGTCCAGTGGATCCCAAGAGAGTTTATTTGTGACAAAGGGCCCAACTAGACACTTTTTTTTTTACACAAGGGGCCACAATCCAAAGAAAGTCAGGAACAACTAGTTTAATGTCTTCTACAATGAATTGTATTTTATAAGTGTATCATAACATAACATAACATAACGTGTAATAAGTATATTTTCTTAAGTGTAAAATCTATAAAAATAAAAAAAAAATGTGTAAAATACAATTCATTGTGTTTTCATTATCTCAGAATGAGCCATTTATATCTACATATGGAGGTGGCCATACTGTTTCTACAGTGGCCCAGAACAGACAAATTAAACACTGACTCTAGATAGGGCCATTAATGTTTTCGCATTGGAAGTTCTCCTTCACACTTGGCTCATTTTCAGTTGGTTGCAATTTGCAATAACAGTCACTAGATGTCACTAAATCCACTACACAATAGACCTGTAAGAGATCTACCCAACAATTCCCTTTGTCTATTTCTGGAGTAACTACTAAGTTTTATAAAGTAACTGACTACAAATCTAACAATACTCTGTCTTGTCTATTATAATATGATGTAGCAACACTGTCTGCTGTTTATCGCAGCCTCTCTCCAGGTAATGTGCTGACACCTCTGTGGGAAGAATTAGCACAACAGACACCAGATGCTGCAGCAGCCATTAAGACAGGAGAACAATTTCAGGTAAATTCTCACAGTGGAACCAAGGGTTCCTACACGGAGCGATAGAGAGTGAAAAAGAAAGACATAGTTGGTGTGGCTGTAAATCTAATAATACAAGTTTAATCCTGACAAAATTTTAAATCTTAATCTTTTGAAAATAAATTTAGAAAATGCAGCACAATAATATTAGAAAAAACGCCCTACCCCCACTCTCTACTCCTTTTCACTTGCAGATTAACCATTGGTTTCTGCTGAGCTGATGCAGCAACTGAACAAGCACCACTAAAATTTTTGTAAAAACACACTTAAGTCTCTGTGTTTCATTATAAATCATTACAAGACAGCCTACAGTTCATGCAACATTGTTTTGTTCATCATCTAAACTGCCATAGTCGCTCTGTTGGGTTGTAAATGTTAGTTCCCCCAGTCCCAGGTCTAACCAGACTTTCTACAACATGCTGATTTATTGTTATGCAAATTAAAGCTTTCTTTTCATCCCAGTCAGAGAGAAGGTATTTGAAACAAACGGTGACACAATGAAGATGAGACACCAGAGTGTGGTGCTAAAAAGACTCAGCAGTTTCTGTGTTAGGTTCTTGAAGTATTGCTCTTCTTTTCTATTTTAAGTAATTTACTGCAGTGTTAACAGAGAGGGTTATTTAGGTATTCAGATAATGAAGGATGTTTGTATTTTTTTTGCAGGGAGCCTTGTGTAAAAATACTTTTAGGAACTTGTCAACTCCTGGAGGCAACAGAACATAAAAGGGTCCCTATAGCCATTTTTAAATGCTTTCTTTTTATCGTAAATAATCCAGAATCAATTTGCTGCTTTTCACTGTGTAACAGTTCAGTACAGACACAACTGTAGAACAGACACAGGAGCATAAAACACACAAATGAACAGAAGAAAGTTACCTGGTGCAACCACAATTATGTGCTGCTGTCAGCAACAATGACAAATGACACGTTGTCTTGTCAAATAGTTGCTGGGTCGTTTTGGGACTGAAGAAGAGTGTGGACTGGCTGCCTTGTATCTCGCCGCTGATGCTACTTTCTGCACCGGGATTGATCTGCTGTTCAGTGGAGGAGCTGAGCTCAACTACGGCATCAAGAGTCAGATCCCATCTTGACTGTCCTGATCTCCACAGTGTCCTTGTGGTCCTGTAACAGCTGATTTAACATGTTGAATTGTTTAATACAGATTATATATATGATATTGTTCAAATTTTTGGATACAATAATTTTAATGACCTTGTGTGTTCAAGTTTGCTGGTAACATTACAAAGATAAATCAGAAAAAGGGATTTTCACTCACATGAAGTTTGCCTTGGTGTTTTGTGCACACAATAAACATATCAAAGTGAAATAAAAATAAAAGTTAAAGTGACATATCATTCATTTACTTGATCAAATTGCCTTGATGAGATCAGTGAGTTTGAAATGTTGGCATCCTGCCCAACTGTGTAACAAGACCTGCACCACTCCCCACCGTTTGACCAATCAGCATCCACCTCTTTGATCTCGAATAACCTCGTTTTTTAAGCCTGATGGTGTCCGCCAATCAGATGTTACGCGTCTGTCACGCCCCCATTGACTTCCTGGATGAATGACAATTACAAGACTATAATTAAATTGATTTTGTGGCTTTTCCCCTCCTGATATACTTGTGTCTTCTTGTGGAACAGTCCGGGTGATTGTAAAGTATTAACAAAGAGCAAACAGAAAAAAAAAACACAAACGCGTTTAAAAGGTTTTATTTAATAGCTGGGTCAAGTTATTCCATTAAAGATATAATATCACGAAGGGCGTTTTATGTCCGGGAGGTTTCAGGCTTCACCTCAGCCAAACTGCGGGTCGTATTTCAAAGCGGAACTCACGTTGACTTTGAGCTAAGTTGTTTCCACACGAGCAGATAATCTCGTTTATCGTGGTTACGTAGCGGAGATGGCGGCCCTCCGAACGGTGAGTTCATTGACCAATGTCTGTGTGCCGGTTATTATCTGTTTATGTTGACTGTCTGGTAAATGTTTCACCTTAAGTAGCAATATTTCGGCAGATAACAGCCGAGGAAAGATAACAGATCCCTAACATAGTCTGTTATGTGTCTGTCCCGCCAGCACCTAGGGTGGCAAAACAATGCAGCGTGGAAAGGTCATTAGACCAAACTCCATGCCAAAATATGGACAATTAACTTGTCTTGTGTATCAGCAATAATTAAAGCCTCGTCAAACATGACTTATTGCCCCTTTTGAATATTCAGGGTGTGATAATGAATTCGGCATACATCCAGTCAACAAGTTAGACCTCGATATATGAAATAAAAAAGTTACCAAACGTTACATAGCTTTCCACCTCCCACGGTGTGGTGGAGGGTGGTAGGCAAGCCAGCTAGATTATAAGTAAGCCGAATTGAATAATACACCCCTCTGATGCTGCAGTAGTCATTAGTCGGTTTATATGTAGTTTATAAGCGACGCCATAAGCAGGTTTCATTGAATTGCCAAATTTGTAAACAGGGTTTGGCGTGAGACTTAACGACAGCTTTCACGTCTTTGGGTGGCTTACAATGCATAGCTACAGAAAAGTGTAAAGTGTATATGTGTGTGTGTTATTAACTCATGCTTACAACTTTCTTACACAAGCTACTTATTTTGCTGCTGGCTCAAAGTTTGTTTTAAGGCTAAGAACAAATGCTAACTAGCATTTGCTAATTCTGGTTTACTGTAACTCCAGACTGTGGGTCCATATTGCCAAAGACAGATCAAATTTCATGCTTCACGTGCATGTTACGTACGTCACTGCGAAAATATAATCACACAAACTCGAAGACGCAATAAAGACAGGACTTGCATCATCCATTGACCAAAAATGCACACAAGGGCAACTTTTTTACAAGAATTGCTAAAGCATCAACTGTGCTTTTCTACAGACCACTGCCTGACATGTGCACATGGCATGACAAGTAGTCAAACTTGGCACCAAATTGGGAATGTTAAACAACTGTGAAAGACCACCTTTGCAGTTGATAGGATTAATCATGGGATTACCAAATGCAAGGCCTGTTTTACAAGCTTTTAACTGCCAGGACAATGCAGCCATAGAGAAATTAGAGAAAAGTGGATATGATATCACTCACTGCCTAACCTCAGGACTGTCAGGAAAAGAGGAGAATTTACCTACGAACTAGGGAGCCACTACAACAAGTTGCATGAACTTGCTGTACCTGCTTTATCTGTTGGTTGGTATATCTGGTGCCTATCCTAGTAGACAATTCAACAGCAAGTCTGTCATTGCTGATGGCTTCTTTAGAATCTGGGCTATTAGAACAACTATTATTTTCCCACATTCCCACATAGGATCCATGCAAACAGTTTGTTTCTTTACTTTCCTCTTTTTGCAGAGTAGCCTGTACATGTGCCTGATTCTAAATACAGCTCTTGGCAGCAGCTGTCTCCAAACAGGCATGTGGCACTAGCAGCATACTATGACCTGCAGACAAAATGATTGGTGCTGACTCACACACCCACAAACGCACAATGTCAGACATGGTGTCCCTGTGTTTTCCCAAAGCTAGGTGACTTGTTGTTACCAGGAAAGAAGATAGATTTCTTACAGTATGGCAGCAAGTTTTCTGATAAAACCTTTACACGTGTGATTACTAGTACTGAATACTGACAGCAAAGAGTTTTGTCCTGTTTGATTTGCAGGCACTCCATGGACGACTTGTTCAGGCCCTCCCCTTCTCTTTTGGCTCACTGCGGTTCGCCAGCTCATTTAAGGTACTGAAAAAAAAAGAAATATTTTGTTTCTCACCACCTGAGGCCTGTCTGTGTTGTCTCCATCCAGTGTGCCTGTACATGTCAGAGCACTCGGTATTTATTGATCAGTAAGGAAGGAAGAAAGTGCCACTCTTCAAAAGAGAAATTTGTGTCATCAACTTGCCTGAAGTTAAAGTTTCTTTTCCCTTTCTGCCTTTCCCTCACTGTCTGCCTACAGCAATCATTTAATTCAGTTTAATTGAACTTAATTAATTGCATCTAATTCTCCAAATAAGTCAGCTTATCAACTGACTCTTTACAACGCTCAACTAAATGTCCTTTTAAAGCATGCTCTGTAAATAATGTTAATTTAAAAGCAATCACTGTACTTGTTGGCCGCTCTGCTTTTGTCCCGTCTTGCTTCTTTTTCTCTCCACCGTCTCCGGCTTGCTTGTCCGTCTCCACCTCAGGCGACAGATCTCCTCGTCGAACGCAACCCAGCATGCAAGCCGAAGCCCGACCCCTCCACTTTGGTGTTCGGCAAACAGTTCTCCGACCACATGTTGACCATCAACTGGTCGGAGAAAGGCGGCTGGGAGGTTCCGCAGATCAAACCTTTCCAGAACCTGTCGCTGCACCCTGCCAGCTCTGCCCTGCACTACTCCATAGAGGTGAGGAGAGGGCTGTGTTAATTGTGATATTTTCACTTGGTGAAGCAAGGAAATGGGAGAATGCCAATAAATGAATGAATCAAATAAGCAAAGACACTTTCTTTGCAGCTTTGCTCCATGGTATCAGTTGTAGATTAAAAGTCTGATACACAGAAACCAGAGATAAAGTGTTATGTGTTTCTGCCTGTCTTCCCACCAGCTGTTTGAAGGCATGAAGGCGTTCCGTGGAGTCGACAACCACATCCGCCTCTTCAGACCCATGCTGAACATGGAGAGGATGCATCGGAGCGCTGACAGAAGCTGCCTTCCTGTGAGTTTGCAACCAACCTTGTCCTCAGAAACCCTCAGTGAGGATTCTTGGCAGTGTCAGATCTTTCATGTTGGCTGGTACTCTGTGTCTGGATTGATGCCAAAATTTGGTGTCTCATGCTTGACTGTTTTTTTTAACTAGCTCTTGACTAAAGAATGGAAAAATCTCTGAGGCAGCATTTATAGCATCATGTGATTGTGCATCATTGTGCAGTGTTGTGGTGTCTCATAAATCTTTTAACTTGTTAATGTGTTACTCAAACTGGACAATCTGGATCTAATTTTATTACCTCGCTGGTACCTGAAGCAGAACGCTCCCAACAATGCAAAGTTGTTTCTGGTCTAAACGCCTACTAAAACCAACAAAGCCAGACTAAAAGGAATGTGTGGACACCAACAATATCACTGGTGGAAAAGACATCATGCTTTGCTCCTTGCTCTGCTGTAGAGCAGTGCAACGTGAACGACCAAAATGCACTGCAACCGCATGGAGGTGCACATAACAGGGCCTTGTAGCACTGCGTTCATTTACTTAGCAAAGTTGTACAATCCTGTTTGATGTGTAAAACTAATCCTTCAAACTGGACTTCTGTAGCCTACAGCAACATGCCCACACCAACACAGCCCCTCTGAGTTTTGCCACAGTTGGTCTGGATGTGCCTCACGATTTTTTTAGATTCTTGGGCCCATTTAAAATGATCTGTAGCACATGGTCCAAAGTGCATAGTGCAAGTGCATTTAGGGTGTGTCCAGCTCTACTTTTGCTAGTTAAATGGCACAGAATCTGGGCGCAAAGTCAGGCGCAAGGGGCAAAGGGATTGTATTTGTTCCCTTAATTAATCATAGATGTGTTTTGGGCGTAACATGAATTCAGCCAATCAAGGGTGTTATCTCCCATTCCCTTGATGTGCCTGCAAGTGGCTCGCTGCTATTTACATGGCAGATTCAGCACATGGAGAAGTGAGTGGTTTTCTGCTGAGAATAATGCAGTAAGAGCAGTAATGTCACTGCAGCAAATACCATGGGACACTTAAGCAGCAAAACTAGAAACTGTAGTTCAGTCAGGCCCCCTGCCTTACCTCAGGCCTATGCAGAAAGCCTCTTCCACATGCCTACGTGGAAAGAGATAAGGCAGAGAGAGCACACCTGTCTGCCCTTACACGTGCAAATGAGGAAAGCCTGAGGCAGAGAGGCGGGTTACAAAGTGTCTTGCAGAGGAAGCAGCAACAGTAGGGAGGCCAGAGCAGGTTGAATAGGGTGCCCTGAATGAGATTCGCCAATTGGTTGCATAGAAAGGAATCATGTGATCTATCAGGTGACACCCGTCTGTCAATCAGCTGCTCCATCAGTTGATTGGGCTGTTTGTGATCAACCGATGTAGCTTGGATGTGAGCTGAGCTTGACATCATGTCCTGCTTGGACTAATACTATGCTCAGTTTATGAACTTGACAGAGGAAACAGCTTAACTTTGAGCTTCAGAAATAATCAGTGAAGTTACGTTGCTCCTTGTGCGTAAATGCGCAGTGTCTTATGTAATGGGGAGTCAGACAGCAGCTTAGCAGCTCTGCTTTTTGCTTTGTTGACATTTTAGAGAATCCAGTTTATAATTTTCTCATTAATGATGTTTTATTTCACCCGTCCACA